TTGCTTAAAAAACAAGTTGTTATAAAAATAAAACTGTTCTCTTCCCTGGTTTTTAAAGCACACACATACATACACACACACACAATTATACACTTGTAATAGAAGTTGCAAAACAACAACAACAAGTCATTAACATGGTAAAAGTAAAATGTAAAAATATACAAAAAAATTGTTATAAAACAACTTGAATAAATTGTGAAAAAAATAAACAAAAACGTAGTAGAACTAAAATTAAACCCACACATACACAAAAAAAACTCATAAAACTTTTATGACTTAAAAAAAAGAGAGTAAGAGTAGCGAGTTTGTTAATTTTACCACTCGTTGTTCGGCAATTTAATGCTACAGCAAACTTTTATGGTTTAATGTGTATTTGTAGATATTAAAATGTTTGCTTTATATGTATGTATATAAGTGTGTGTGTGTGTCTGTTCAAATAATCACAAAAATTTTGAGCTTGTGCGCTGTAAGAGGGTTTATGAATACATACTTTTATAGGAATTTGCGCAGTGGAAAAATATACAACGAGTATTAACTGCAGCCCAGTATTAATAATGATACTAAAGTTATAAATTAAATATGTATGTATGGTGTATGTGTGTTTTTTGTAAATGTAACAGTATTTGTTATATAATATAAAGAAAAAAAAAATACGTAAACGTAACTAAAAATACAAAATACTGTTGACACGATGATGATGATGTTGTTGATGATGATGCCTTTAATTTTTATACATTTATAACATTGACAGCCTGAAAGTATGCTACACATTAATGTTTTTTTAATAAAACCATATAAAAAACAAATACAAACTCCCCTATTCATTATATTTTTTAATACTAGGGTTTAATATTTATTTTCAACATAAATAAAACGTTTTTGTTGTTTTATTATAAAAACTTTTTTCATTACGTCTCCATTAAATTATTGTTTTATAGTTAATTTTGCCTTATGCAGGGCGTATACTTAATATTTTTTGTAATATATTAAGTATACGCAGTTGTGACCTTTTTAACACCCCTAAAAGTATACCTTTAACTTTGAATATTTATTTAAATCATTGTAAAAGTTGAGTATTTGAGATGATTTGTTTAAAGGAAATACCATGAACTTTTAAAATATTTATAAAAAAATATATATGTTCAAGGAAAGATTAGGGAAAAATGAGCCATAATGTCAAACATCCTGAAAACAAAAAAGATTAAAGTTTTAGAAAAACTTTAATAACTTTAACAATTTTCAAAAGATTCTAATAAATTATGTTTTATTTTATTAAAAACAATATAAACTCTTAATTAATGAAAGAATATTTTATTTCTTAAAAGAAAATTTTTAGAAAAAATGGCTGTTAAATCTAAAAAAAATTCCAATTATAAATAAAAATCTCTATATTAATGCTAGTAACCTTAAAATATGCTTTACATTTTTATATTTACACAAAATAACAAGAATACGTTTGCGCAGTTAAAACAGTGTAACAACCTTAGCGATTTTTAACAAAAATTTCAGGACTTTTTACACATAATAACGAAAAAAAAAACACCAATAAAAGATCAAACGTTGTCTTAGTATTCATAGAAATAAAAAACTTTTAAAACTACAAACAAACAACCATGGTATATCCATAGTCCTTGTTCTAAACAACATATCCTTTTAGATTTATATGTAAATGGTAAACCTAACTACTATACTATATAAAAAGATTTTAAGTTCAGTTGGAAAACAAAAAAAGAAGGGAGAAAATAAAAGCCTCAATATTACAAAGCTTTTTTTTGCCATAGGAAAGAACAACAACAACAACTCTTTAGTCCTTTTTTTCTATAATTTTTTACTCCATAAAGGACCTTTTTTTGTTTGTTTTAAAACTCAAGTACTTAATGTTTGTAGGCAAAATGCATTAACAAAAAACTATACACGCATTACCCAAACACACACACAAACTTACACCCACGTTTAAAAAAAAAACAGTACGTTTATGCTTTACCGTTACATAGCACAGGGAATTTGAGGGTTATATTAAGGATAGAGAATATTCTGGGGTTTTATTTTATAAGTATTTCTTTGTATGTATGTGTGCAATAAAATAAACACCTCTACACTAGTTATGAGCTCTTATTCTCTCTCTTCCCTCTCTTTTTCTATAAAATCAGTGGGTGGCAATGACTTTTCAACATTTTCCACTATAAAAAAGGAATATGTTTGTATGGACATGGTAGAGAGTAAAAGTTATAGAAAAACACTTACACACTCTCACATAACTGGCTAGCAGCTAGAAACTGTTACTATGTTATATAGAGACCTGAATATAAAGAGTAATTTTTATGTAATGTGATTGTTTCAAACGGTACAAATAGATATTATTTGAAAAGTAAAAGATTATTAGAGATTCTAAGAAATGAAAGGTTATTTAACTTAAAGTTAAAAACGGTTGAAAATTGCAAAAGTTATAAAACATTTTCCCAAAATTGATAGAAATTTTTCATTTAAATAACAAACTAGTAGTTTACTGTTTAAAAACCAAAGCCTAGTTTTAGGAGGCAATAAACAAATACTTATAAGTTAATCTTAACTTAACTTGAGTAACTAACTTTATCATGGAACAGCCCCTAATGTCTCAAGCTAGAATCAAGAAAAGTATTTTTTGTTTGTTCTTTTTGGTTAAAAAGGGTTAATAAACGCACCTTTTGGTACATTATCGTTTGGTACTTTTTTTGAAATTTCTATAATATTAAACCTAAAAACATAAAATTTATCATTTAGGATCGTGAGAATGAATGAGAATTTATAAAAAAAAGTACTTTTTGGTACTTTTTCAAATAGTACTTTTTCGTTGTTTAGATGAAGGGATCGTCTTTGGTACTTTTTCGCTTTTCAATTGTTACTTTTTAGAATTTCTATAACAATCATAAAATTTATGATTTAGGTCCATGATTGAATGAAACTTTATAAGAAAGTACTTTTTGGTACTTTTTTCCAAATTAGTACTTTTTGAATTTTCTATAATATGAAGACTAAAAACATGAAATTTGGTCCTGAAAAGAAGAAGAAGAGAGGGATGAAGGGATCGCTTTGGTACTTTTTCGTTTTTCTATTGGTACTTTTTAGAATTTCTATAACATTGAACCTATAATCATAAAATTTATGATTTAGGATCATGATTGAATGAAACTTTATAAGAAAGTACTTTATGGTACTTTTTTAAAATTAGTACTTTTTGAATTTTCTATTATATAAAGACTAAAAACATGAAATTTGGTCCTGTGAAGTTGAAGTAGAGAGGGATCCTTTTCGTTCTCTTTAGATGAAGGGAACTTTTTGGTACCGGAACCTACAATCATGACATTTATGATTTAGGCTCATTTATAAAAAAGTACTTTTTGGTACTTTTTTTCAAATTAGTACTTTTTGAATTTTCTATATGAAATTTATCATTTAGGGTAATGAATGACTAAAAATTTATAAGAAAGTACTTTTTGGTACTTTTTTGAAATTAGTACTTTTGGAATTTTCTATTTTATAAAGACTAAAAACATGAAATTTGGTCCTAAGAAGTTGAAGTAGAGAGGTATCTTCTTGGTCTTTGGACATACAATCATGAAATTTATGATTTATAAAAAAAGTACTTTTTGGTACTTTTTTCAAATTAGTACTTTTTGAATTTTCTATGAAAACTAAATACATGAACTTAATATACTCTGTTCTGAGGGGAAGAAGAGGGGAAACTTTTTCGTTCTTCAAATCGGGCGAACTTCATTTTTCAAATAGTACCACCTCTTAGGTACATTTTCAAATTAGTACTTTTTGTATTTTCCTTAATATGAAACCATTCCATTTTCATTCATGGTACTTTTTAAATTTTCTATAATATTGAAACCAGAAACCTAATATTTAAATAAGAATTAAATATTTTTGGTACCTTTTCGTTCTACAAAAAGTACTTTTTTAATCTTTTATAATATTGAACATGAAAGTAAAGGAAAACAGTTGTGATTTCTACAAAACTTGTGATTTTTATTGTAGCACGTTTCATTTGCTGGAAATTTAACATATTTTCTATATAAACCTTAATAAAGGTCAAAGGTCACTTTTGATAATACACTTAAATAAGCGTTAATTAAGCATATTTATAATTTTTCTGGTCAATAACCTTTTCATTTACCCAGCAGGCCCATATATAAAGTGACAAAATGTATTGTCACCCAAGAAAAATTGTGATTGAAAAAGTCATGTACTGATTTACATACAAATCATAGGTGCAATTATATAAAGGTTTTATATACTTAATACATACATACATATGTATATAAAGTTTTAAACTTATGTATATATTAAACTAGATTTGTATTTATGTAAAATAACAATTATTTATTATTTTTGAATATTCTCATATAATTCAACAGAATTTCATATAGTTGTAGTATATAAATGATATATTTACATACATATGTATGTATACATACATAGGTAAATAGGCAGGCTTATACATACATGGTTATGCCTATATATGTACATAAGTTCATACATACTTACACATACAATAAAGTCAATATTTAATTAGTGGTTAAATGCAATACACATAACTCTACATACATACATAAATACATCATGTATACATGATATAAAAAGGTATATAGACAATAACATTTACATACATATTTATGTACATGATGTCCATTATATACATATGTATGTATGTATTCATATAGTGAATGTATTGGTTTGTAGCTGTATAAATAGATATTCGAGATTTCATATTTGTAATTAACACTTATAATTAATACATAATTATATACATACATATGTATGTACATTTTTCTTATGTAAAAATTTAGCCAAAATAATTAACATAATTAAAAATTAAAAAATTCTATTAAAGTTTGGTTTCCTTCAAACTGTTCCAATCCTTTTCTAGAAAGTTGTTTGCTACTTTTATATTAACTATTATTAAAATTTTATACATTTTACTAATAAGTTATATGTTTTCATTAATCTACTTACAGATCTTTAAATCTTAAAACAAAACTCAAAAAAAAACTCAATTCAAAAAAATGGCTGGTGAACGTCCAAAACGTCCTTTGTCCGCATACATGTTGTGGTTGAATGAAAACCGTGAACAACTGAAAAAAGAAAATCCCGGCAGTAAAGTAACCGAAATCGCCAAAAGAGGTGGTGAATTATGGAGAGCAATTAAGGACAAAACAGTAAGTTATAATACATATAAATAAAAATAAAATCTGGAAAGAAAACTGTTAATTTTAAAACTATATAATAGAATCTAAATAGACTAGACTATCGTCTATAGTCTAGGCTATAAACTAGTCTATAGTCTAGACTATAAACCAGCCTATAGTCTATTCTATAGTCTAGTCTATATTCTAGTCTATAGTCTTGTCTATAGTCTAATCTATAGTCTAGTCTATAGTCTAGTTTATAGTCTAGTCTATAGTCGAGTCTATAGTCTAGTCTATAGTCTAGTCTATAGTCTAGTCTATGGTCTAGTCTATAGTCGAGTCTATAGTCGAGTCAATAGTCTAGTCTATAGTCTAGTCTATAAACTAGTCTATAGTCTGGTCTATGGTCTAGTCTATAGTCGAGTCTATAGTCGAGTCAATAGTCTAGTCTATAGTCTAGTCTATAAACTAGTCTATAGTCTATTCTATAGTCTAGTCTATATTCTAGTCTATATTCTAGTCTATAGTCTTGTCTATAGCCTAATCTATAGTCTAGTCTACAGTCTAGTTTATAGTCTAGTCTATAGTTTAGTCTATACTCTAGTCTATAGTTTAGTCTATAGTCTAGTCTATAGTCTAGTCTATAATCTAATCTATAGTCTAGTCTATAAACTAGTCTATAGTCTAGTCTATATTCTAGTCTATAGTCTAGTCTATATTCTAGTCTATAGTCTAGTCTATATTCTAGTCTATATTCTAGTCTATAGTCTAGTCTATATTCTAGTCTATAGTCTAATCTATAGTCTAGTCTATAGTCTAGTCTATAGTCTAGTCTATAGTCTAGTCTATAGTCTAGTCTATAGTCGAGTCTATAGTCTAGTCTATAGTCTAGTCTATAGTCTAGTCTAAAGTCTAGTCTATGGTCTAGTCTATAGTCGAGTCTATAGTCGAGTCAATAGTCTAGTCTATAGTCTAGTCTATAAACTAGTCTATAGTCTGGTCTATGGTCTAGTCTATAGTCGAGTCTATAGTCGAGTCAATAGTCTAGTCTATAGTCTAGTCTATAAACTAGTCTATAGTCTATTCTATAGTCTAGTCTATATTCTAGTCTATATTCTAGCCTATAGTCTTGTCTATAGCCTAATCTATAGTCTAGTCTACAGTCTAGTTTATAGTCTAGTCTATAGTTTAGTCTACACTCTAGTCTATAGTTTAGTCTATAGTCTAGTCTATAGTCTAGTCTATAATCTAATCTATAGTCTAGTCTATAAACTAGTCTATAGTCTAGTCTATATTCTAGTCTATAGTCTAGTCTATAGTCTAGTCTATAGTCTAGTCTATAGTCTAGTCTATAGTCTAGTCTATAGTCTAGTCTATAATCTAGTCTATAGTCTAGTCTATAGTCTAGTCTATAGTCTAGTCTATAGTCTAGTCTATAGTCTAGTCTATAGTCTAGTCTATAGTCTAGTCTATAGTCTAGTCTATAGTCTAGTCTATAGTCTAGTCTATAGTCTAGTCTATAGTCTAGTCTATAGTCTAGTCTATAGTCTAGTCTATAGTCTAGTCTATAGATCAGTCTATAGTATAGTCTGTAGTCTAGTAAAGTTGAAAATTATTAACATTCTTACAAAATTTTATTTTCCAACACTTTTATTAACTTTTACATTATTTCTTCGTTTACTTGCAGGAATGGGAACAGAAAGCCATTAAAATGAAGGAAGAATACAACAAAGCTGTTAAGGAATACGAAGCTAATGGTGGTACTGATACTGGTGCCGGTAAGAAGCGCAAGAGCAAGGCCACCAAGCCCGTCAAGAAGGCCAAGAAGAAAGAAACCTCCGAAGAAGAGGAGGAAGAGGAGAGCGATTAAATTAATGCAAACAACAACAAAAACACATGAAAAAAAGAAAAACCTGCAAAATTATTTCGTTTTTTTTTTTAATTTATACTAAAGTGAAAGAAAACCAGATTAATTTATATGTTTAACTTACAAATATAAGTTTTAAACATTTTATAAATGTAAGCTTAAGTGGCATATATTTACAAAAACAAAACAAAAAAACAAATTATATACAAACGGAATAAATATATGCAAAGAAAAAAAAATTATAAAAAACAACTACAAAAAACACACTGAAAAAAATATTAAGTTAAATGCAATAAGTATAGGAAATATTAAAACAAAACCAACAAAACAAAATTTCCAGTTTTATTTTTTACTATTTTTTTTTTTTTATTTTTTCCTCACAACTCCCCCCGCCAACCATCTTAAGTTCTTTTTTATACAAAAACAAAACAAAAAACAAAAAAAATGTTTTCATCATTTGTTTCCTTTTTTACTTTAATTTCGTTTTAAGTTAAATTGTATGTAAATTTATAATTATTTTCAAAAAATAATTACATTTTAAAAATCTTTAGTTTCAACTTAATTTTTAATATGTATGTGTATATTTTTATATACAATAAAACAAATTTAAAATAAAAATTATAAAAAAATAAACAAGAAATACAAAAAAAAAAATTATAAAATACAAAAAAAAAACCACAACAGCATTTTATTTTTCTCCTTTTCCCTTTTTAGTTTCTTGTCTTTTCCCACTTTTTTCTTTAAATCCTTTAATATATAAAAATATACTAAATGTCTTGGTATATGTATGTGTGAGTTTGTTAAATCACAAAATTGTATTTAAACAAATAAGAATTTTTTTAACAAATTTCCTGCATATTTTAAATATTATAAAACAAGAGAAAAAATACAAATTTTTAATAAGAAAAAGATAAAAAAAATAAAACAACAACCTTAACTTTAAATGTACATGTATTTGTAGATTGAGAAAAATTTAATAAATCATTAAAAGAAAACATTAAAAAAATCCCACAAAAAAATTAAAAAAAGATAAAAAATCAATTATATATATTTAAACAAATATAAACCAAAAAAAATATTTAAAAAACAAAATAAAAAAATGTTGTTATTATTTCACAGAGATTTTGAATATTAAAAGAAATCGAAGACTTGACAATTCTATGCTTAGTGGAACATCAGCATGATAGGAAATGTTCCAAAATGAGAAAATTACTTCCAGTTTTGGAACATTAAACTGCCAGAAATTCGGCCAAAAGGAACTGGTTCAAACTACAGTTACAAATTATTGACCATAACAACAAATAGAATAGACTAGAATAGACGAGAATAGACTAGACTATAAACTAGAATAGACTATACTAAAGACCAGATTATAAAATAGTCTATAAACCAGACTATAACTAGTCTATAGACTAGACTATAGACTTGACTATAAACCTGACTATAGACTAGACCATAGACTAGACCATAGACTAGACTATAGACTAGACTATAGCCTAGAATATAGACTAGATTATAGACTAGACTATAGACTAGACTATAGACTGTACTATAGACTGGACTATAGACTATACTATAGACAAGACTATAGTCCAGACTATAGACTAGATTATAGACTAGAACATAGACTAGTCTATAGACTAGTCTATAGACTAGACTATAGACTAGACTATAGTCCAGACTATAGACTAGAATAGACTACAGACTAGACTATAGACTAGAATAGACTACAGACTAGACTATAGACTAGAATAGACTACAGACTAGACTATAGACTAGACTATAGACTAGACTATAGACTAGACTATAGACTAGACTATAGACTAGACTATAGAATAGACTAGACTATAGACTAGACTATAGACTAGACTATAGACTAGACTATAGACTAGACTATAGACTAGACTATAGAACTAAGACTAGACTAGACTATAGACTAGACTATAGACTAGACTATAGACTAGACTATAGACTAGACTATAGACTAGACTATAGACTAGACCTATAGACTAGACTATAGACTAGACTATAGACTAGACTATAGACTAGACTATAGACTAGACTATAGACTAGACTATAGACTAGACTATAGACTAGACTATAGACTAGACTATAGACTAGACTATAGACTAGACTATAGACTAGACTATAGACTAGACTATAGACTAGACTATAGACTAGACTATAGACTAGACTATAGACTAGACTATAGACTAGACTATAGACTAGACTATAGACTAGACTATAGACTAGACTATAGACTAGACTATAGACTAGACTATAGACTAGACTATAGACTAGACTATAGACTAGACTATAGACTAGACTATAGACTAGACTATAGACTAGACTATAGACTAGACTATAGACTAGACTATAGACTAGACTATAGACTAGACTATAGACTAGACTATAGACTAGACTATAGACTAGACTATAGACTAGACTATAGACTAGACTATAGACTAGACTATAGACTAGACTATAGACTAGACTATAGACTAGACTATAGACTAGACTATAGACTAGACTATAGACTAGACTATAGACTAGACTATAGACTAGACTATAGACTAGACTATAGACTAGACTATAGACTAGACTATAGACTAGACTATAGACTAGACTATAGACTAGACTATAGACTAGACTATAGACTAGACTATAGACTAGACTATAGACTAGACTATAGACTAGACTATAGACTAGACGATAGACTAGACTATAGACTAGACTATAGACTAGACTATAGACTAGACTATAGACTAGACTATAGACTAGACTATAGACTAGACTATAGACTAGACTATAGACTAGACTATAGACTAGACTATAGACTAGACTATAGACTAGACTATAGACTAGACTATAGACTAGACTATAGACTAGACTATAGACTAGACTATAGACTAGACTATAGACTAGACTATAGACTAGACTATAGACTAGACTATAGACTAGACTATAGACTAGACTATAGACTAGACTATAGACTAGACTATAGACTAGACTATAGACTAGACTATAGACTAGACTATAGACTAGACTATAGACTAGACTATAGACTAGACTATAGACTAGACTATAGACTAGACTATAGACTAGACTATAGACTAGACTATAGACTAGACTATAGACTAGACTATAGACTAGACTATATACTAGACTATAGACTAGACTATAGACTAGACTATAGACTAGACTATAGACTAGACTATAGACTAGACTATAGACTAGACTATAGACTAGACTATAGACTAGACTATAGACTAGACTATAGACTAGACTATAGACTAGACTATAGACTAGACTATAGACTAGACTATAGACTAGACTATAGACTAGACTATAGACTAGACTATAGACTAGACTATAGACTAGACTATAGACTAGACTATAGACTAGACTATAGACTAGACTATAGACTAGACTATAGACTAGACTATAGACTAGACTATAGACTAGACTATAGACTAGACTATAGACTAGACTATAGACTAGACTATAGACTAGACTATAGACTAGACTATAGACTAGACTATAGCCTAGACTATAACTAGACTATAGACTAGACTATAGACTAGACTATAGACTAGACTATAGACTAGACTATAGACTAGACTATAGACTAGACTATAGACTAGACTATAGACTAGACTATAGACTAGACTATAGACTAGACTATAGACTAGACATAGACTAGACTATAGACTAGACTATAGCTAGACTATAGACTAGACTATAGACTAGGACTATAGACTAGACTATAGACTAGACTATAGACTAGACTATAGACTAGACTATAGACTAGACTATAGACTAGACTAGACTACTATAACTAGACTATAGACTAGACTATAGACTAGACTATAGACTAGGACCATAGACTAGACTATAGACTAGACTATAGAGCTAGACTATAGACTAGACTATAGACTAGACTATAGACTAGACTATAGACTAGACTTATAGACTAGACTAGACCTAGACTAGACTAGACTTAGACTAGACTATAGACTAGACTATAGACTAGACTATAGACTAGACTATAGACTATAGACTAGACTATAGACTAGACTATAGACTAGACTATAGACTAGACTATAGACTAGACTATAGACTAGACTATAGACTATAGACTAGACTAGACTATAGACTAGACTATAGACTATAGACTAGACTATAGACTAGACTATAGACTATAGACTAGACTATAGACTAGACTATAGACTAGACTATAGACTAGACTATAGACTAGACTATAGACTAGACTATAGACTAGACTAGACTATAGACTAGACTATAGACTAGACTAGACTAGACTATAGACTAGACTATAGACTAGACTATAGACTAGACTATAGACTAGACTATAGACTAGACTATAGACTAGACTATAGACTAGACTATAGACTAGACTATAGACTAGACTATAGACTAGACTATAGACTAGACTATAGACTAGACTATAGACTAGACTATAGACTAGACTATAGACTAGACTATAGACTAGACTATAGACTAGACTATAGACTAGACTATAGACTAGACTATAGACTAGACTATAGACTAGACTATAGACTAGACTATAGACTAGACTATATACTAGACTATAGACTAGACTATAGACTAGACTATAGACTAGACTATAGACTAGACTATAGACTAGACTATAGACTAGACTATAGACTAGACTATAGACTAGACTATAGACTAGACTATAGACTAGACTATAGACTAGACTATAGACTAGACTATAGACTAGACCATAGACTAGAGTATAGACTAGACTAGACTATAGACTAGACTCGACTACAGACTAGACTAGACTAGACTATACTAGACTATAGACTAGACTATAGACTAGACAATAGACTAGACTATAGACTAGACTATAGACTAGACTATAGACTTGACTATAGACTAGACTATAGACTAGACTATAGACTAGACTATAGACTAGACTATAGACTAGACTAGACTAGACTATAGACTAGACAATAGACTAGACTATAGACTAGACTATAGACTAGACTATAGACTAGACTATAGACTAGACTATAGACTAGACTATAGACTAGACTATAGACTAGACTATAGACTAGACTATAGACTAGACTATAGACTAGACTATAGACTAGACTATAGACTAGACTATAGACTAGACTATAGACTAGACTATAGACTAGACTATAGACTAGACTATAGACTAGACTATAAACTAGACTATAGACTAGACTATAGACTAGACTATAGACTAGACTATAGACTAGACTATAGACTAGACTATAGACTAGACTATAGACTAGACTATAGACTAGACTATAGACTAGACTATAGACTAGACTATAGACTAGACTATAGACTAGACTATAGACTAGACTATAGACTAGACTATAGACTAGACTATAGACTAGACTATAGACTAGACTATGACTAGACTATAGACTAGACTATAGACTAGACTATAGACTAGACTATAGACTAGACTATAGACTAGACTATAGACTAGACTATAGACTAGACTATAGACTAGACTATAGACTAGACTATAAACTAGACTATAGACTAGACTATAGACTAGACTATAGACTAGACTATAGACTAGACTATAGACTAGACTATAGACTAGACTATAGACTAGACTGTAGACTAGACTATAGACTAGACTATAGACTAGACTATAGACTAGACTATAGACTAGACTATAGACTAGACTATAGACTAGACTATAGACCAGACTATAGACTAGACTATAGACTAGACTATAGACTAGACTATAGACTAGACTATAGACTAGACTGTAGACTAGACTGTAGACTAGACTATAGACTAGACTGTAGACTAGACTATAGACTAGACTATAGACTAGACTATAGACTAGACTATAGACTAGACTATAGACTAGACTATAGACTAGACTATAGACTAGACTATAGACTAGACTATAGACTAGACTATAGACTAGACTATAGACTAGACTATAGACTAGACTATAGACTAGACTATAGACTAGACTATAGACTAGACTATAGACTAGACTATAGACTAGACTATAGACTAGACTAGACTAGACTATAGACTAGACTATAGACTAGACTATAGACTAGACTATAGACTAGACTATAGACTGGACTATAGACTAGACTATAGACTAGACTATAGACTAGACTATAGACTAGACTATAGACTAGACTATAGACTAGACTATAGACTAGACTATAGACTAGACTATAGACTAGACTATAGACTAGACTATAGACTAGACTATAGACTAGACTATAGACTAGACTATAGACTAGACTATAGACTAGACTAGACTAGACTAGACTGTAGACTAGACTATAGACTAGACTATAGACTAGACTATAGACTAGACTATAGACTAGACTATAGACTAGACTATAGACTAAACTATAGACTAGACTATAGACTAGACTATAGACTAGACTATAGACTAGACTATAGACTAGACTATAGACTAGACTATAGACTAGACTATAGACTAGACTATAGACTAGACTAGACTAGACTATAGACTAGACTTAGATAGATCTAGACTGACTAAGACTATACTATAGACTCTGACTATAGGACTAGACTATAGACTAGACTATAGACTAGACTATAGACTAGACTATAGACTCGGACTATAGATATACTTTAGACTAGACCTATGGACTAGACTAGACTATAGACTTCGACTATAGACTAGACTATAGACTAGCCAATAGACTAGACTATAGACTAGACTATAAGTCCATTAATAAACATTTAATTTAGGTAAGTAATACTAGAGGTATAAAGTTGTCATTGAAAGTAAGTTCTTGACGTGATACAAGTTATTGCCAAGTTTTCCTGGGATGTTATACATTTATGTGTAGAAAACAAATTATTGTTTATTTACTAAAAGTTAATAATATTAATTCGATTTTTATATTTTAAAAAATGCTATCCCTTTCGCACCAAATAATAAAACTCCCCAAAACCCAACACTAGTTCCTTTAATGTTCTAATAAAACTGAAATACAACTCTAAAAGTAATGAGTATTTGTTTATTTACTTTTAGTACTAAATACCGGCAAACTAAAAAAGCCGTAACCAAATACTGAATAACCAAATATTAAATGCTACTCCACAACCAAGCGGGTACAAATTTTCTATGCAAGTACAGTCAGTAGAATACTTTCAAAGTGAATTGATTTGTTGGTGTTATTTTTAAAGTTTTTCACAAGATAATTTAGTTTTTATCTAAAAAAACAAATAAGCAATTATAAAGAAAACCTTTTAAACATTGTTTAAATACACAAAACCCAGTGACATTCTAGGTAAGAAAATTGTAAGAACACAGAAAACAAAATGAAAAATCAAACAGCCTAATCATCCATCCCAAACATCGATTGATGTGCAAGCTGCGTGTAAGAACTAGACGACACAAACGATGTGTGCCTGTCGCCTAGTTACATACTTCTTTTTTAGGGGTAAATTTTAAAATGTTCTAATGCTTTTTGTAATAGGGTTTAATGTTGCAATTGCTGTAAAAGATTTTGCTTTAAATTTTATTTCTTTTAATTGAGTAAATTTGGTTATTTATGGCATTTGTTTCAAATTGCAAATTAAGAAATGTGTTTGGGTCATTTACATCAATTTTTGCAGCCAGCCATATTGATTTTTAACCGGTTTACTGTATGTAAAGTTGCTTTTGTTTTGCAAACGTTTTATTCATAATTTTTGTTGCTTTTTTGCGAATTTTTATTTTCTTCTATAATTAAAACAAAGCCGGCTTTGTTTTAATTTATTTCATTTATGTTTTTAAGTTTGAAAAAGCTTGGTTTAGTTACATTTTTGTTTTTCGCCTTTTTATGCATTTTCTTTGTTTTTGTTTTGGCGCCATTTTTCAAATTGTTGGTGTTTTTTTTTTTATGAAAAGAAACGAGTGTGCAGAAAATAGCCAAAAGTGAGAGAGATAATAGTGTTGAGAAGAGAGCAAATGTTGTGCAAACAGAATTTAGTGTTGGAAAACGTTTTTTTTTTTACTGGCTGCAAAGTGTGATGTACTTGGCATTTTAATTTTTTTTATAGTTTTAAGAAAATTAAGATTTTGTTTGCATTTTTAGTTATTTTAATCGTTTTATTAATTTGTATTTATTTAAAACATTATAATATTTCTGCTTAATTGCGAAAATGTACAATATATGACAAATAACATGCGTTTTAAAGTTCTACCTTCGTAAGGAGGGATACACGAAGCAATTTATTAGATATTTTTGAGGAAACATTAGGGCCATGTACATTTATTTTTAAAAGTAACTGAAAAAATCGTTTCATTAGGAATTTTCCCTTATTGATTTGAAAGAATAAACTTTCGTAGCGTGATATATAATAACAAATTCAATAAATTTAGTCTTCGAATTGAAATGTGGATTATAGTTCCCAGATTCTAAATATTTTTTTAACGAGCAAATATATGATCTATTATTATCACAGTTTCCTTACGTTAATAGCTAGGTATGTATTTGGATTCTTGAGTTTTACCTAATATTCCCAAATATAAACTTTATATAAAATTTTAAGTTCATTTTCATTCGTAAACATTATGCACAAAAATTAAATTTTGGGGACTTGCACAAACTTCCACAATGTTAGGTCCAAGGCAAGACACAGTTTATCATGATTTTGAAATAAATTTTTAATTTAAAATCGTTTTGCCATAATTTGTTCTTTAGTTTATCTGTTGTTGCCTAATCCTTCTTATTATTTTTGTTGTTGTAACAGTTCGACTGTGGCCGATAGTTCTTTCCTGGGAAAAAAAACTTTCGGTTGATACAGCTATCGCTGGGTTTGACAATCTTTGGCCGCCGAGTATGACTCGGGTTGTTCAGGAACGAAGATCCAATTGTCGTGGGAACGCAACTTATTATTTTGGATAATTATTGTATTATACAAAAGATTCTAATTAGATTGAAACTTTTCTAACATTATTTCAAAATGTCTACTGAATCAAGAGGTTCTCATAACTTAAAATTTCGATTAATGGTTTAGTTAATAAATAAAGTAAATTTGTCTAAAAAATGGTCTGGGGATAAATTACTTTGTAAGTGATCGAATAAGTTTTCGCAATGAAATCACATTTCAATAACGAAATGAAGTTAAAATTTACTAAATTGTTTGTTCAATATCGTATGTCAGTACCAGATAAATGACAAGAATTATCGATCCTTTTTGCTCCCAATCTTATCGGAATGGTTTTAATCCCGTGTAGTTAATATTCCTTTAGATCTTCACAGATCTCTGTTAAGTTATGTAATAGCAGTTATTAATGTTCAGTGCAGATTTGAAAAACATTCAAGATGCTTTGGTATTCTATAGATGATGTTTGTAAAAGTTTCAACTATGAAGATGAGGAGACGTTAGCTCATTTTCAGTGGATAAACTACGTTTTCAGATACTGATAAACAGCCTATTTATATGATCGGTCTAATCTACTCAATGTTCGGTTAGTAGGATAAAACACTTTCATGGGTTTGTCGAATTGTATTTGATTGTATAACTAACTATTCGGGGAAGTAGTACTTCATAATACACGCTTCTTTTCGCTATATCTATCTCCCATCACTCTTGTATTTCTAACAGACTTACAAAGGGACCTCATAGAACCAAGATGAGCTCAATCGATGTAAAAACTAACCAACACACACTAACTCTTTCTAAATATTTGAGCTGTTCTGAACTCAAATCAGACCTCAAAATGAAAACACCCATTTTTTTACATTTTAGATTCTTGAATAGCATCTATGGAACTAGAAATCTCGCTAATACTTCTAAAACTCATTCTATGGAATATATCTAATTCTAAAGTCCACTTCTAAGGAGTTTAAGAAATACATATAGGAACCTATACTAGTTCCAAAAGAACTTCTTTTAAAAGAAAATAATGGCGGTTTAATGATTTCAAAATTCCAACAAAAATCACTGAGATCAGTTCTAGTTTCGGAATTTTTATAAAAAAGTTTTATATTCACTCTCTAAAGTTTCACTAGAGCTAGTTCCGACGATGAAATATTAGAATAAACGTCATTGTTTAAAGAACATGTGTCGATTCCATTTTTCATCCATGAAACTAATTCCGAAGAGGACAATTTCCAACAAAAACCATTGGTTTTAACTCCAAAGTTATGGTATGAGGCCATAATCATGAGTTATAGCTCTTGTTTTGAATGTAATAGTGTTTTTCCTGGGTTATTACTCTGTATTGATGTACATAATTTTTCTTAAACTTTATGCTTTCTATAAGTGATCTTCAAGTTTGTAAAACATTTTCAATTTAAAGAACTTTTCTTAACTCAATTTAGGCTTTTTCTCTCGAGTTAGATCCTGATAAATCTATTCATTAGTATGTATTAATTAGTTTGATTTTAAAGTGTTTAAATAGAAAATCAATATATTTCTAAGTTCCTAAACAAAATTTTTGTTTAATCATGATTTTCTTAAACCTCATGAAAATGCTTATCTAAACTAGGAAAACGTCACAGATTTTCTTAATATCCTCTTCTTTTTATAGTTTTTCAATAACACATTTTGTAAGTAATATTCCTTATCTAAAACTAACAAAAAAACTATTCATTTATATTTTATACTAGTTTTATTTGTGTTTAACAATTTATCCATTTTGTTTTGATCGTTAAATTCTTTAAAAAAAAAAAAACAAAACCAAACTGTTATTGAACATAATAATAACAAAAACAAAATTTGGCGCCAAATTTTCAAAGCGCAATCTTAAAAACAACTTTTCCCACAATTTTGTTTTATATAAAAAAAACGCCATTGCTCAGAGATAAAATATTACATTGTTTATACATTTTGTAAACAATTTCAACATTTTGGCAGCAGTTATTTGGAAATAACGAATAATTTAAGAAAAAAAAATCGTTACTTTTTTCTACAAATACTCTTTATTTTTTCTCTTTTTGATGAAAATTTCAAAATAATTTTTGTTAAAATTTGTATATAAAATGAAAAAGAAATGCATGATGCATAAACAAGTCGTTTTTTAAATTTTTCTCTTCTTGTACAGCACAACCTCTTCATACAAAACATACGAAAATGAACGAAATGTATACTAATGGTTTTATTGTATACTTTTTCATACAATACTCTGTATATTATTATGAGTTTCATTCGTTGGTTTTTTTTGCTTTAATTTATAATTTTACTACCTAACTCTGTGGAAAAAAAGACAATTTAACTCTAGACTCTATATAGAGAACAGAACAACGAACATTTGCCTTATAACAAGTAGTGAATTAGAGGTAGAACGAAGAAATATTTTAATGGGAACAAAATTTCAAGCAACGAAGCTAGCAGCATCTGCTGTTTTAATATTGAATACTTTACTGCTACAAACTACAAACAACAAGGGTTCTTTTTCATACAAAATTTTGTGTCTATAGTATAGTAGTTTGCGTGTACTTTAGCTGGGGTATATTGTACATATACTTTATCCACATAATAAACCATAGTTTAGTTGCCTATACTTTGACTGTTGGCTGCCTTGTCTTGCTTGCCTTTTGTATGTGTTTGATACTTTAAAAGAGGATTTACACTGCGTTGTTCAAACGTTGGTTGTTTGTGAGTTCTTCTTTCTATACTACCACCATTTTTATGTTTATTATTTGCTTTATACTGACTGTGTTTTGCCTGGTCGGTCTGCCTGTTTCTTGTGTGTGTATACAGGCAATTTTCCATATACTTCTACTGTAATACTTTGCTTAACAAGTCTCACACCTAAACGTTGAAAATTTTACTCTACAGTACAGTTGAAGTTAAGGATCTCAAGGAAACAGTTCTATTAAAATAATATTGCTTAGCAAAAATTAAAAAATTTTAACAAAATTTAAAACATCAATTGTTGAAAAAAGAAAAATTTTATAATTTTTCTTCTTTGCAACAATATATTCCAAAAAAAAGTTAATAAAAAGTGAGTGTTAAAAAAGAAAATTATCAATTAAACAATTTGATATAAAATCTTTAAAGAAAATTTAAAAAAATTAATTTCAAATTTGAAAAAAAAGATTAATTTAATAATAATTTTAAAAAATTTAAGTTAAATACTAAAAATACTTTGAAAGTTATTGTAATAACTTAATAATTTATTAAAAAATTAATTAAAAAAGAATTTGTTTGAGAAAAAAAGAGCGCCAAATTTCAAAAACCTGGTTTATCATACAATTTGTTAAAGAAAAAAGAGGCTACGTTTAAAATTCTTCTTTAAAATTGTTAATTTTGAAATAAATTAAAAGAAATTTATAAATATTTAAAGAAAAATTCCCATTTTAGAAAAAAAAAAATTAAGAAATTTTATTCAGTTTTGAAATTTATCTATTTAATTAAAAAGTTTGTTAAACAATTAAAAAAAAAAGTGCGCTTTAAAACTCTTACTAAAAAATCTAAATATATTTTTAATTTTACAATAATTAATACAGTTATTTAGCTGTAAAACTCTAAAACTTCAAAGCCATCAAGTTAAAAACTTTACAAAAACGTACTTCTCCTAAGCTGGAACTAAAAAGCCATTTTAGTCTATTACAAAGAAAATCTTGTGTTTTATTAACAAAACACTTAAAGTTTGAAATTTAAACAATAATAAACAAATCTAATACAAATTTAATTAATTCTTTTTTAAACAAAAAAACTAATTTTTTATAAAATTTTCATTTTCTAATTCTAGCCTAAACTAAAAAAAGCTTTTTTAGCTTCAAATTTATAAAAACTTCACACAAAACCAAACAAACAAACAAAATGACAGACAAACCAAAACGTCCTCTCTCCGCCTACATGATCTGGCTTAACTCTGCCCGCGAAGGTATTAAACGTGAACATCCCGGCATTAAGGTAACAGAAATCGCCAAAAAAGGCGGTGAAATCTGGCGTGGCATGAAGGACAAATCGGTAAGTTATAACAACAAACAATCAATCTTCCCCCTATCCACTCTCTCTCTCTCTCTCTCTTTAAAACGATTACTTATGGTCAATTTTATATTTTGTTTTAGGAATGGGAAGCCAAAGCCGCCAAGGCCAAGGAAGATTATGAGGATGCTGTTAAAGAATTCGAGGCCAATGGTGGCAGTACAGCGAATGGTGGTGGTGCTGCCAAGAAACGTGGTAAGGCTGTCAAAAAGGTAGCGAAAAAGAGCAAGAAAGCCGATTCTGAAGAAGAGGAAGATGATGAGAGCGATTAAATTATATAAATAAGTAACACACACACACTCAAAAAAAAATAAACAAAAACAATTCTCACAAGCAGCTTGCGCAGCAGCCAACACAACACAACAAATTGTAAAAAAGAAAAACAACAACAAGAAATTTGTTAGAAAAAACTTACACTTTCCAACTTGTAACTTTTGTTTTGTTGCTGTTAAGTTAAGGAAAATGTTGAGTATTAACTGCCAAAATTCCCACCAAAAATTTGTCACCACAACAACTTAACAGCAGCTTAATACATAATTAATTAATTTTAAGATATTCTTAAAAAAAAACAAAAACAAACGCCCCCCAAAAACAAAAGCAACATATTCTTTTATTATATTTGCAAGTTTAGTATTAAAAATAAGAGGTTTTTGAATTATATAATAATATTAATTTCTAATCTTATGCCAATCTTTAATTATTAATTTATCTTTTAAAACATTGTTAAACTTAATATATTGGTCATTTGAACAAAAAAAAACAAACAAACAAAAATTGTAAAACTGTGTAACCCACAAGCCTCTTATATATAATTTAAACAAACAAACAAAAAAATAAAGTTTTTTTTCTTTTTCAAACATTTTTTGTACAAATCATAAAAAAAAATTAATTTAATTTTAATTAAAAAAACTAAAAAAATATATTAAAAAATCCCCTAAAAACACTTAAAACAAACATTTTTATTCTTTACCAAAACAAACACAAAAACTTAAAGAATGAGTATCCATACATGTGCAGCTGCTTGTTTTTTTTTATAAATATATAAATTTAAATATAAATATTAGTATATTTAATAATTCTTTTTTTGTATAGAAAAGAAAAAAACAAAACAAAAGTTGTGTAAAAGTCTTGTTAAAACGATATTGCATTTCTAATTCTTAAGATTGAACAGAAAACCCTTAGAGCGAAAGAAAGAAAAGAAAAACAAACAAACAAAACCTAGTATTGTTATATTTCTAATAATCTTAAACTGTTTTGTTTAATTTGCAAATTCTTACAACATAACAAATTGACAATTTTTAGTTTCTCTTAACAAAAATTTTTTTCATGTTTTAAATGAATTTTAAGAATTTATTACAAAAATTTAAGTTTTATTTTTCATCCACACATTGCAAATTTTTGATACTCTTGTCTTGTTGTGTAGTACATCTGTTTTCATAAATTTCTTTAATTTGTTCTTCATATTTCACCTTTTTTTTATACATTATTTGATTTTCATCTTTTTTTTTTTTCCAAGTTTTTTTTTATACATTATTTAATACACATGCAAACACATACATAAAAACAAAGTCGTTTAGTCATTGAAAAAGAAACAAATTATAAATGTATTAATATAATATTAACAAATTAATTAAAAACGAAGGAAAGAGATAAATAAAAACTTTATAAAAATAAATAAGAAAATATAAAAAAAAAATAATTCTATAAAATTGGTTTTGTTATTTGAGAGAATCTTAAAAGGTAAAGGAATGAGATATTTTAGAATATTAATCCAAATCTACTGAACCCATCATTACAGTAGTCAGTTGACCAGTGATTAAACTAGTTGTATAGTCTAAGGATTAGACAATAGGCTGGTCTATGGACTTCACATTAGGCTAGTCTATAGACTAGTCAATGGGCTAGTGTATGAACTAGATAATAGGCTAGTCTATGGACTAGATAATAGGCTAGTCTACAGACTAGGCAATAGGCAAGTCTATAGACTAGGCAATAGGCTAGTCTATAGACTAGACAATATGCTAGTCTATAGACTAGACAATAAGCTAGTCTATAGACTAGACAATAAGCTAGTCTATAGACTAGACAATAAGCTAGTCTATAGACTAGACAATAAGCTAGTCTATAGACTAGACAATAAGCTAGTCTATAGACTAGACAATAAGCTAGTCTATAGACTAGACAATAAGCTAGTCTATAGACTAGACAATAAGCTAGTCTATAGACTAGACAATAAGCTAGTCTATAGACTAGACAATAAGCTAGTCTATAGACTAGACAATAAGCTAGTCTATAGACTAGACAATAAGCTAGTCTATAGACTAGACAATAAGCTAGTCTATAGACTAGACAATAAGCTAGTCTATAGACTAGACAATAAGCTAGTCTATAGACTAGACAATAAGCTAGTCTATAGACTAGACAATAAGCTAGTCTATAGACTAGACAATAAGCTAGTCTATAGACTAGACAATAAGCTAGTCTATAGACTAGACAATAAGCTAGTCTATAGACTAGACAATAAGCTAGTCTATAGACTAGACAATAAGCTAGTCTATAGACTAGACAATAAGCTAGTCTATAGACTAGACAATAAGCTAGTCTATAGACTAGACAATAAGCTAGTCTATAGACTAGACAATAAGCTAGTCTATAGACTAGACAATAAGCTAAACTATAGACTAGACAATAAGCTAGACTATAGACTAGACAATAAGCTAGACTATAGACTAAATAAGCTAGTCTATAGACTAGACAATAAGCTAGTCTATAGACTAGTCAATAAGCTAGTCAATAAGCTAGTCTATAGACTAGTCAATAAGCTAGTCTATTGACTAGTCAATAAGCTAGTCTATAGACTAGACAATAAGCTAGTCTAGGGACTATTGGCTTGTTTATAGACCCTTTTTCTTCTAGTCTTCTTGGGTGTCTGCCAAGCAATCATGTTGCTGAGCTATTATGATGCAGATGAATCTTGCCTAAGAAAGTTGATCGAAAATTTTATTTTATTTATATGTTGTTTGCGCATTTTAACCTGAATTCCGTTGCAGTAGTTAATGTACATATCGGATAATTAGGCTGCTGTCTTCGCTAATTCATCAGCTATACAATGGTCAATTAAGTGCTCATGTCCCCGTACCGACACGAGTATGACTGGAGAATGCCTTACGAAGCTGCTTAAGGATGCCTTGCATTTCTGGACTAATCTTGACATAGTTTATACATCTGTTAGGGATTTGATTGCAGCTTAACTGTCGGTAGTTTTGGATATCTCTATTCTATGTTGTGCAATTTCCTGCTCCTACTCGCTCTCCCTATGAAGTCCTTTTTGAAAAAGGCTTTTTCCAATCTTGAGTATAATAAAATCGAAGTTTTTATAGTGTAAGGTTTTCGGAGTGCTATAATATTTAATCTGGGACACTTCTTTAACGTTCGTGCGTTAATAAGTTTTGTGTCTATGCGCCTATTGGCAGTTAAAGTCCAGTTCAGCAACGAGTTTATGTATATGCTTCATTCTTAAGGAGTTTGTTATAAGAATTGTGTTCCTGTCTAATGCTTTTCACCAATCAGTGACTCTATAGAATATGATTGGTCTAATAACGGCCTCGAAAATCCATTTTAAGTGTTTGTGCTTTATTGCACCATCTTGTTTGTAGATCATAGAAATTCCCTTAGTGACATTATGAGGCTGTTTACTATTAGACTGTGTTGGGTACCGGAGCAGTGCAAGGTATATGGTAATGAAGTTGCTAATGAACTTCATAGTTAGATTAGATTCGAACCTTGACAAAGATAATAGAGATAGAAGCGTGAAACTATTCATTATGTCACTATTATAGGTTGATTTTCAAGAGAATCCGTTACATCATCAAGCAGTCCTGGAATAGCAGAATAGATGGCAAAATATTAAGGATCTTATGGCCAACACTTGATGTGAGGGCTACCAAGATACTTACTGGTATCTTAAAGCGGTGTAGCGCAATTAGGGCCTTTGTCAGTAAGTGGGACAGTTATATACCGGACTATTGAAGTATATTCGAAGATACAGAGGAATTATAGACGATTGAGTATATAATTTACCACTGTCCTAGAATACAGAAGCTCAGGTTGTAATGATTGGGAAATAGGTTCCATGACAAACTTAGGGAAAATCGCGAGACTCAATCCTCGCAGTCTACTAGGTTTTATCAGGGGAATTTTTCATTACTTCGCCTGCGTTTTATAGGGAGACTCAGAGTCTCTTACAATTCGTGCTTTAGTAAAATTTCCAGGTTGGAATCACTTGGGTATCGGTCTGTTTTCATTACTCTCCACTTAAGATATTTTTGTTTTCTTCTAAAGTATTCTCTATCTGGGGATCTTCTTACTCTACTAAGGGAATCACAAGGAACCTTTCAATCACCGAGTGGAGTTGCATCTTCTTAAACTAAATCTTGTCCCAATAACGATCCAAACTTATCATTAAGATATAAGTTAGCCCTGTGATTTCAAAGGGAACTTGACTCTGATTGGAGTCAAAACTGGGTCTATTTCGAAATTAAGCTTGCATTAAATTAAAACATACTTTGTTTGTCATTGTTTTAAATGTTTTTTTATTCAGATTTCTAACTTTATCTTATTATTGGTGAGTTATACTGAAAACGTGTTTTGTATTTGTTTATAATTATTATAATTAGTGTATTTTTTTTATTAGAGACTCGGATTCATTGGAAAATATTCACAAAACAATGTCACACAATTACATAGTACATAGTCATAAAAGCTTATAAACTAAAACAAACACACTGAGTGGTTTTAACAATTGTTTTAATTAAAAAAATTTTTAACGAAATTATTTGTAGTATTGTGCTTTTTTTTTGGAAAAAAGAAAAAAAAATTATTTTATGTAAAAAAAACACATTATATGAATAAGTTTTAAGTAATCTTTGTTCTATTTTTTGTTATAATAATATTTAAACATAAAATTAATTTAAAGTAATTTACAAATTTTTATTTTGTTTTTAAATATAATAAACTTCATTGTATTTTATATGTAAAATTAAAGGAGTTTTGTTTTCTTTTGTTTGTTTTATTTAGGTAAAGAGTAATATTAGGGTGGTGTATAAGTGGTTTTCGTATTTTTATATAGAGCTCTTTAATTGTAAATATTTATAAATCATAGAAAATATAATTTATTAGCTTGAATATACTACATTTTAGTTCAAATTCGCTTAAGGGAAAACAAGGTTAAAGGAAAACTTGCGTTTTCAATGAGATACATGCAAAACTAACTAGAAAAAACATTACAAGAAACAATCTTAAAAGATCAGCAACACTGTTCTCTATGTTGTCTACCCTTCAAGGTTTGCTTTTAAATAGCGTTTATAAAATTGTTAATCAATATAATTTAACTTAAGAAATATGTTAAACAAAACTAAAGAGAAAAAAATGCAAAAAATAGAAAACTATATTAGGTTGGGCATTATTATAAAGATGTTTTCCTGCGAGCATATTATCCCCCTTAACTTGCTGTTATTTGGTTTTGAGTATAATGTGTAGTATTCGTATCTATGTATAATCTTTTCTATAGTAGACCAGGCACCTTCTAAAAAACTGACCATTGGTAAAAAAAATGCTTCTTATTTAATTAGCTTTCTGTCATAACTAGCACCTTTTTCTTTATACATATTATCCGATTTATTAACTGCAGTACATGTATACTCCTCTACTATTTGTAATCATTTCAACTCGCTTCAATCTATTACTAGGTATTCATTCTTCTTGTTGTTTTTATATCGTTGCGCTTTAATTACGATTTAGCCAGACAATTGCTTTTAAAACAAAATATGCCAAACCTAAACAGTAGACTATTTTCTCACGTTGTAAACGCTGTTCATTGCCAATTTCTATATTCAATACTCGGCGATTTAATTTGGCCAACTGACGTCTTAAATATAAGATTTCCTCATGTGGTGTTAAATCTCCCATTGGTGTACCCTCACGATGACTTATCATGGAAGTATCATTTGGATTGTAGATCAAGGTTTGCGAACGTTTGCTGGCACCACCTGTTGTCAACTGTAAAAGAAAATAATAAAGAATTAAATTAAAGCAAATTTTGTATAAGAGTTTATGGAAATGAAAATTTTGCGGAATAACAAGTACAGTATACCTCAAAATTTCTGAGCACCATTTCTTATACTGCTCTTTTTAATATAGATGCTTATTTTGCATAGATAAATATAAGGATGTAATAGTTATATAAATATATGTATATGCGTATTTTGAAAGACAAATACTAAATTTTTCTTTTTAGTTGGCAAATTATCAAAATAAATTTGAAATATTTATAAAAATAAAATTTACAAAAAAGCAAAAGTATAGTACACAAATAAAAAGATTGGTTGCCTAGTTATTTTAATATAAAATACATTTCTACCACTACTACCTGTTTCTATAGACTTTCTCTACATAAATAAAAATCTCTCATACTTTTTGTACCAATCAGTAAACCCACAACATATTTATTTAATACTTTTTTGTATTTTTAACTTTTGCTAGTTTGTGTTTAGTCCATGGCACAGACTAGTTCAAAGACTAGTCGATGGACTAGTTCACAGCCTATTCCCTAGACTAATCAATACAATAACCAATACTATAGTCAATAGTCCATTCTATTGTAGAGTCATTAGTCGATTAACTAATTCACAGACTAGTCCATAGACTAATCAATATAATAAACAATAGACAGTAGAATAGTTCATAGGCTATTGATGTCCAAGGACTAGTGCGTAAAATAGTAGTTCAGTCCATTGACTAGATTAGACAATACACTAGTCCATAAACCTGACTAGACAATAAACTAGACCAGTGAATATATGAATTAATCAGATTAGACGATGTACTAGTTCATTGTCTAATTCCTAGACTATAGAAGATATATAACACTAGACCTAGTCAATAAATGATTTCATAGATTAGTCTATAGATCGGTTCTTGATACTAGACAATAGACTATTTTATAGAAATAGCTAGTAGACCAGTCCATCGGCTAGACAATACACTAGTCAATAAACTTGACTAGTCAAAAGACTAGTCCATTAAGTAATCAGTAGACAAATCTATAGACTAGTTAACATATGAAGCAATAGATAAAATAGAACGTAACGTTTAGGTTTAGAAGGGTTGTGCACCACCCGGAGACCAAAAGGTTCATTGTAATTCCTTTCGTAGAGTGTGAAGAGAGATTTCATCCTGGAAATTTTAACCAAATTGATTCCCTTAGAAAGAATTGTGAGAGAATCTGCGTGTTGCTATAAAACCCAGGCGAAGAAATGACTAATTCCCCGGATAAAACCTAGTAGACTGTGAGTGCTAAATCCCGCAATTTTCCCCAGTTTGTCATGGAACCTATTTCCCAGTCATTTTAACCTGAGATTCTGTATTCTAGGACAGTGGCTTAATTGTTAGTAGTTTCTCTACAGCTTCGCATATCCTGCAGTAGTCCGGTATATATCCTGCAGTAGTCCGGTACTGTCTCACTTACTTACAAAGGCTCTATCTTTAACAATGCACTGTTAAGATTCCTGTCAGAATCCTAAGACTATGCTTATCCAGTCCTATAAGTATCTTGGTAGACTTCACAACAAGTGTTGGCTATAAGACCTTTGATATTTTGCAATTCATTCTGCTATTCCAGGACTGGTAGATGATGTCAGGGATTTTATCCAAATTCAACCTATAATAGTGACAGATGTTTGATTTTACTCTTCAATTCCTATAATATATGTCAAGTTTCAAACCTAATCAAGCTAGGTTATCTACAATTTCACATTGCAGTGCTGCGGCACTCAACACATTCTAATATTGAACAGTTTCATAATGTCCAATCGTCCCTAGTTGGAAATCCCATTAGAGGTGTTTGCTCCAAGTCTAGAGTAATAATTAAATAATCTGTAATTTCTCAAGTGGGAACGCCCAGCCCTGGAAACGTATCAAAACCAAACTGTAGGATCAACCTACTTTAACCTCTCTTTCCACTATCTCTACTTTTCTTTTTCTTACAGATACTTTTACAGAGGGATGAACTTTGGACCTGTTTAAACCTAACCTATTAGCACCTAAATCGCAGCGATTGGAAAGAGTTTTCTTTTAAACATAAATGCCACCAATTCCTTAATGGCGTAAACTGTCGTGGGTTACTAAAAAATGCATTTATAAGTAATCAGGCTATCTTTCAGGATAAATGAGATATTATTTTACTTCTGTAGATCTTTCTTGGCTTTATCTTCTTTATTCGTTTTACTCCATGCTTTTTAAATAATCAATAATGCCTTGAGAAACATTCGATTTATAAGATTAATTTGCAAAAAAAAATCTTAAAATCATTAATAACATGACTAAGAGCTTCTTATCTGTAAAACCACAATTGTTTCATTGTGAAAAAACAGATTAAAATTGAGTTAATTTATTAAAGACAAAGTTTGTTTACCCATAATGAGTTGTATAAAACATGTGAACAAGTGTTTATTTTTAAATCTACATACTTCGAGCGGCTTATTTCCATATAAAAAAAAGCAATTGAAATGGAATTTTATGTAATGTGAGTTGGAGTGATTTGCAAAATAACTCATTCAACTCATAGTCTAATGTATCAATAGCAAGTTGAACTTTCCTCAACAGTGGAACAATTACAACAGCTCTCGAACTCTCTGGGACATAAAGAAAGTGCAACATATTAGACAATTGGTCGCCTTTTTCAGCGATCTGGAATTGATCCAAAATAATTATCGCATGTACCTGGTGTGTTCTCTAAAAGAGAAGACAAGACTGTCTAGTCAACTTACTGAAACCTAAAAAGGCACCAAGAAGTAATTTCTACTAAAGTAAGACTCTATAACTAAAGGTCTATCTATACTTGTATTAATTGCTTCATAATATAATATATTCAATCTGATAATATAATAAACTACACCTAATGACTTTACAAATTACAAAATAAATGAAAAGAAAAACAATAATGTGGGTCAAGCACAAGAAATTGTATAGGGGATGGTAAAAGAATTTAGTTTAACAAATCAATTTTCTTATCTAATAAACAAAACAAAAATAACTATTGTTTCTAACACCTAAAATTAGTTAAAAGAATTATTTGTTATCAATTTAACAAAATTTCGTCAAGTGGAATTGTATAGCACATGCATTTCTTTAACGATAATCATTAGGAATTAAACTAAACTAAGTTTCTTAACTTACCTGTGAATCGGATTCTACTGAATTAGCATCATTCGTATGAAAGCCCACCACAGCATTTGAAATGCCATTTGCCCTCACGTATGGAGGTGGACGTTCAACGTCGTCATCATCGAAATCATCATCGTCCAGATCATCGCCATTCTGCAATTTATTCGGTGAACTCTCTTCGGAGGCCGAGGGAAAGTGATGATCATTCAGAGTTATAGTACGTGGAGGTGTCTGTACTCTTACGAAACCCGAAGGATTTTTGGGTAAAATGGAATTTTCCAATTGTATTTCACGCGGAGCCGAACGTGTTTCGAGATGTTGATTATGGCCCAAAACCACTATGCGATCTGGTACATTCATATCAATTTTATCGTGATAATTCCAGGAGTTAATCATGCCATTTTGATTGGACAACAAAAGGTCTTCGTCGGAGAATTCACCCGTAGCCTTAATACGCTTGGGAACACGCATTTTGTCATTTATTTCATGGGCGAATTTGGCTTCATTGTAAATATCTTCATCCAGACCATTAAACATGCGGGTGGGCGATTGCGGAGTAACCATTTTCTATTAGCTCTTATGCTTTTTGCTTCGTTTAGTAACTTTTATTCAATTAAGAAATTCTTCTTTGGTTATTGAACTAAAACGTATTTTGTCGTTTTTGTATTGAGTTCTATTTATTTCTTTCTTTCTATTTTGTTATATTTTCAAAATACGCATACACAAAGTGGAAATGTTTTCAATGCATCCCCAATTAGGAGCCGAAAATACCATAAGAAAGTGTTCGTTGCCAAAAAATAAAATATGAAATTTTTCCCGTTTAGAAGTAGGAAGAGAATGAAATGAAACAAAAAAGAAAACTTGATAATTTTGCTTATTGCACAACAAATTTAAAAGCTTTGTTTTGAGGAAATAGTTTAACTGACTTTTTCTTTGTTTATTTCTTTTCATTATAAATAACTTTACTTACATTTTCTATGACAAATTATATTTTTTTCCTTTTATTTTTACATAAAAATACAGACAGAAGTTATTTTTTGTCTCTTTTACAGCTTTGCAGCTGTCATTTGGATTCTTTTGCAGACGACAAAAAAATTCTTCTGCAAACAAAAACAAAAAAACGCATACAGAGTTGTATATTTTAGTAGGATATATGAAATTATAAACGGTTATTTCAGTACAAAGGCAGACGAATGAAAGAGTTAATTCATTAGTAAAAAAGGGAAAGCAAATAAATGATTTAAAAAAAGTAAATATATAATCATTTATACAAATTATAGTTCTTTTTTTAGGCAATATAGTCAAATATTTGGTATATGTCAAAACTATGAATGTTGTGGATTTATCAACTAAAGTTTGCCTGTGTGGACCGGCACCAGAGATACAAGCCGAGACGGCTCAAATCGGCGGCGGCTGACCGCCGGTAATATTTCAGAACATAATTTCACCAAATTGAACGGAGTTGCCACTATTTTAAATTCTTATGGCAAATTGAAAAGAGTTGCCACACAATATTGTGTTAATATTAAAATAGTGAAAACTACTATAAATGTCCATTTTCTGCAGAAAAAAAACTTATATAGAGACAGGTTTCTATGTAACAGACTATTATACAAAGATTTTTCAATATAATAAACCTTATAAGGTCAATTTCTAAAGAAAAAGTTAAATTGAGCCGACAATTTAGCTGCCGCCGATATTTTCTGTAATAAGCCGCCGCCGCCGACCCAAAATGGTTGCGCCGCTGCCGCCGATCATTTCGCATCGGCTTGTATCTCTGACCGGCACTTATATTTTAAATAAAACCATTAGTTTTTTTATTTCCCATGCACACACTGAACATACTCTAACATATTCTTTTAATACCATATTTTACTACTACTCTTTTTTGCAACTACTCGCATATGCTACCGCATTCGCTGTTACAGTGTCAAACAATATTTGTTGGAAGCGTCGGCAGTGTCGACATCCTGGCACCAAAATACATTGTTGCTTGATAAGCCACAAGGGTCTAATAGAACCAACATAAAAGTGGAAGTACACAACACGCGTTGAGGCGGCAACGCGTTTTACGCTTTTCAAACTTTTCGCGCTTTACAAGCTGCAAGTTACACACAACGCGTAATTTTGATCTTTCTTTTAATGTTTTTTAAGACTATGGCGCAATTTACATGAAGACTTTTCAGACGTCTGTTTTTTCCAATTCTCTTTTGAGAATCTTCCAAAAAATCATGAACATTTATACGGTGATTTTTTACATGCAACTATGCATGTCTTTTTTTGATGTTTAATTGTATAATCCTTTTTAATTACTTATTCGTAATAAAAACAAAATTAAATTTTTAACATAAAAACCATTTAATTTGATTTAAAAAAATTTAATAACACGCTATAGTATTTTTTTAATGCAAATTTTAATGTTTTCATGTAAAAAAAAGACATAATTATTTTTTTACATGAGCATAATATCAACAGTACGAATGAGTTTAAAGAGGAATGTCAAAAACAATCATGAAAATCCCAAATCATGTTTGTTTTCTTACCCCCCATTCTTCTCTACCCCGCTCACCACCAATCATCGACAAACATGAAAACAGACGTCTGGGCAAACATGAAAAAAATCATCATGTAAATTGGGTGTATTACTGTTTTAAAAATCAACATTTTAAGAATTTGTTTATTTTTTAATATTTTTCATTCATTGTTGGTGAAATTTATTTCATTTTAGTTTATTCTTATTCTACACAAAATAAAATACAACCCTGATCAGCTGCCGACGCGTCAAAAGTTGAAAGTTGCTGAACTTTTCGCGGCAGACGCGTTACAAACTACAGTGTGTAACTTGTTAAATGAAAATACACTATTTCAACTTTTTTTGACAGAAGCCTATAACGCGCTGCCGCGTACAACGCGTGTTGTGTACTTTCACCTTAAGTATTTGAAATAGGGTTAATGCCACGGTATACTTAACATCCCTATAAGAAATGAATGACCGAATCTAACACATACAAAATGATTTTACTAACACACACGCAACATTTTTTTTATAGAATTGTCGAAAAAAAATTTAATGGATGATTCCATCAACAATGACAGTCAAATGACCGGTAAAATGACCGTTACTGGACCCAATGTGTGGTATAGGGTTGAATTTGCATATGAAAGAATGAAACAACTACATTTTGTTTAAAATGTATTAAAATTTATATTTTGATCAACAATGACAGCCAAATGACCGATCAAATGACTGTCACTGTGTTACAGAGTTGTATTTTTCGTCGTTACAAATTAATTGTTTCTGCGAAAGCCAAAGATCAAGAAGCGAAAAAATAAAAAAATTACAAAGTCTTTAAATTATTAAAAATAAAGAGAATTATTATAAACTAAATTTTAAAAAAGTTCAGGAAGTGGATCAGAAGATAAACAATTCGGAGTTTAATCAATCAATGGTAACATAAATATGTACTTATGATTTTTATATTTCGATATTTATGAATACTTATGTATTTCTTTACAGACAACTTATTTCCACAAATTAATAGGAGCATCAGAGGATTTAAGATTCTGCGAGATATGTAAAATGGTGAAAAGACTGGTAATTTATTTGTATGATTACTATATTAATAAAATTAACAATATATATATATTAAAATATCAATAAATTGTGTTTTATTATAAATTGGTATAGCCGTCAGATTTGACGGATATATTCATCAAGTGTGATTAGTCAACAATGACCGATTAATGCATCATTTTTTATTTGTTAACTGTGATGGATATATCCATCAAGCATGATTAGTCAATCATGACTAATATTTATATCATCCATGATTAGTAAACAACAAAAGAGTGAGCAGCTCAAATATATGTTTTAAAGTCTATAGAATTCATAAGTGCGAGGGTGATGCAACATCACATGTACACAAATGTTTCCATCACTTTTTACATATTGCCCTTAAGAAAGTGATGGGAGCTTTGTTCTACGCAATGATGGGTATATTCTCAGTAGTGACAGTCAATTGACCGTTCAAATGACTGTCACTGTTCTTATAGGGACATAACGCGTTATTTTAATCTTTCATATATCGCTTTTTTGCTTTTTAAAACTGTTAAAGTTTTAAAATCAAAATTTTAGGTTTTTATATATCTTTAAAATATATTTTTATTCCATTGTTGGAGAAATTTATTTAATTTTAGTTTATTCTTATTCTACACAAAACAAACAACCATAATCAGCTGCCGGCGCGTCAAAAGTTGAACTTGCTGAACTTTTAACGGCAGACGCGTTACAAACTACAGTGTGTAACTTGTTCAATGAAAATACACCGTTTCAACGTATAACGCGTTGCCTCGTACAACGCGTGTTGTGTACTTCCACCTTAAAAGTATGATCAAAATGACGCGTGGTGTATAACATGCAGCTAAAGGTGGAAGTACACAACACGCGTTGAGGCGGCTACACTTTTTACGCTTATCAAACTTTTCGCGCTTTACAAGTTACACACCACGCGTCATTTTGAATTAATGTTTTTTAAGACTATTACTGTTTTATTTTTCTTTCATTGTAGGTGAAATTTATTTCATTTTAGTTTATTCTTATTCTACACAAAACATAATACAACCCTGATCAGCTGCCGACTCGTCAAAAGTTGAAAGTTGCTGAACTTTTCGCGGCAGACGCGTTACAAACTGCAGTGTGTAACTTGTTAAATGAAAATATACTATTTCAACTTTTTTGACAGAAGCCTATAACGGGCTGCCGCGTACAACGCATGTTGTGTACTTTCACCTTTATTTACGATCCCTGGGCGAATGATTTCGAGCCGTCTTATGTTGAAAAATTACGGCGGCGTCATTGAGATTTTTCGGCGGCTATTCTTAGTCGAACCGGCGCAGGTCTCTGTTATCGGCTTGGCTTGTTTGTCGGGCGACATAAAAATAGTTTTTCTTGACGAAAAAGTGGAAAAAATTAAATAAAACACAAAAAAATAATAAAAAATACAAAAACCATCTATGTGAAAACAAAATAAAGTGAAATATAAATAAAGTTATTAAAGGTGAGTATAAAAATCTAAGTTTAAACGCAAAAAACAACAAAAAGTTGGATGGTGAGAGTACAGTCGAGACGCTTTAGGCGGGAAAATACAAATAGAAAAAATTTTCCGTAAACCCAAATGAACCTTAAACAGAAATAGACGCAAGCAATAGGTCTATAAATAAATAATTGTGATAAAAAATAAAGAAAAAAAACGTAAATAATAAAAAATCAAGTGTGTGCTTTTATTTGCAGTTGTTAACCAAAGGAAACGTAATCAAGTGAAAATGGACAAACCACGACGTACAACACGAGGTCGACCTACAAAAGAGGCAGCAGAAGCTGCAAAAACAAGCACAAAAACTGCTATTCCTGTGGCAACTGCCTCCAGCGGCAGCAGCTCGGCAGGGGGTAGAAGAAGTGCGGCCATAAGTACCGCCTCAACAGCAAGTACAGATTCTTCAGTATCAACACGCAGAGCATCACCAGGACGCACTACTAGATCCTCACCCTCTAGAAGGGCATCACCGGCACGTACACGCACTTCACCGGCTAGAACTCGCACTTCACCGGCCAGAACTCGCACTTCACCGGTGCGCAGATCTTCAAGGCCGCGTTCAACAATACCCACAGTACAGCCAGCTGCGGTGGCAGCAGCACCAGCTTTAGCATCCACAAAGGAAGAAGCTGAGGTAAATACATTACTATATTAATACAAAAAAGACAAACTTGTTTATTTATAAATAATTGTTGTTGCTTATGTACTTAGTGTGTGCTACTATCAGACGTAAAACTAATGTTTATTTGCAAAAAAAGAAATATACAGCACACGCGATGAAATAGAATTAAATGCACATGAATTGTAATGAAATTTAAAAAGTGAAAATAGGGTTACTGTAGTGTGTAAAGTTTGGCAAATACAGTTTGTACATTTTATTCATAATAAACACTACAGATCCCAATTTTGAGGATAATTCAATGAAATTTTGTTTGTTGCCTTCTATTGAGCTAAAGTATTTGTACTTAAATGTGTTAAAAAAAACGTTTTATTGTTTGTTTATAAAATCTTTAATATTCATTGTCTAAAATATTAATCTAAAGCTATTGTTAATTAGTGTTAATTTCTCCAATACTTGCCTTATCTCTCATTAGTATTTACTTTTTAAGATAAGAGTGTTGTGTTTGACAAAAAAGCAAAATTTTGGATTATATTACTGTTGATTTTAATTCTTTGTATTTTATAGATAAGCGTGTAATGATTAAAAAAAAAAGAAGGTTAAGGAAGGTTCAGTAATCTTATAGGTATTTGGAAAGATAATAAAAGTTTTCATATTTTCACTTATTTTCATTTTATCTGTACAGATTTGTTATCAGTTTTTTACTTTCTTTATTGTTTAAGAAAATAACTTTTGAAAAGATTGTTTTCATAAACGATTAATAAATACAACTACATAAATAAGACTGTATTTGTGGGCGAATGTTTATGATATACTTCTTTCGGATTAACATTAGTTAGGGGATCATGATTTGATCTTTACCAGAGAGGACAGATTAGAAAGACAAATATGTAGATAAGTGCTGCCAGTGGACACTTTATAGCTTATAGTTCTGATAGCAAATCAAAATAGTAAAACCTGCTTCCAATGATGTCAGAATAAATAATGTCCTTCAATCCGTTTCGGTGTTTAACAATCACCGGACACCAAATTCCCGCAGCGGATACCAAAGACTGTGGTCAATTCCAGGCTAATTTCCAGTTTAGTCAGGCTTGTCTAACCCGAAAGCTACTGGAGCAACTTCAACCGCAAGTAACTGAGCCAAGCTGGCTGTTTGTAAACCGAAACCTGTCACCAATCTTTCGAGATCATTATACCTCCACTTACACTGAAAAAGTTGTAGAATTTGATTGTTGTGCGTCCGAAATGCTTTGTAAAGTGAAGAGATATCGTCTCAAATAAGCCAAGGGCTTACTGGAGCGAAGCGAGGAGGAGTCCTCTACTACATCCAAAGAACGCATAAACTGTAGTCATTAATATGCCCATCAGTAGTTGGTACTATTTGATACCAACATACTAACAGCCTTTATCTGATACCGGAGCATCAGTGGTTTGACTATCTTACAGGACAAATGTGGTATCATCCACAAAAGGTGCTGGGAGTGTATAGATGATTCTTAAGGAGTAACAAGGCACAACATCCCACGTCTATGTTGTGCTTGGAGGTCTTTACAAGCATTTGAAAACAAAATACTACTGCGTCCGCAATTACAGTGTCATTTCCGATTAATGCAAAGCTGTTGGCCAGTGCGTTGTAACTCAATTCCATATCGAGTTTTCAACATCGCAGTATAGGTCTTTAATTTCAGTTTTCGAAAATAGTTATTCATTTTCCATCCATTTAGAAAATATAGTGAGATTTTCTGTTCTAAAGCATAATTATGTCTAAAAAAGACTCAGTTTTTAACTAAGTCGAGGTTTTAAAGCTTGACAAGATGATAATAGAATAGTTACGGTATTGTTTCCTGAATATTTTGATTTAAACAACCATTCAGCTTAATTGTAAAATCAAAACTTCTTTAATTAACTTTATATTTTCTCCTCCTTCTTTTTTTACAGGTAAAAGTCACACACACTTATTTACCAACAACACTGACTACAAATACATCAACCAGAGCACCAGGTAAAATAACAACAACCTCATCGACCCAAAGTTCTTACAGTTCGACTACACAAAAAACTGTTGAAATACGCACAACAAGCTCCTCGGACATCAATAAATTAAGCGATTATATACGTCGTTCTGTATCGAAAACATTCTCAACAGGCGGAGGTACAGGCGGTAGAGGTACAGAAACACGTGAGGGCTCGTTTACGCCCAGCCAACATACAGAAGGCGAAAGTCGTTACAGCCGTTCAGTATCACGTTCCGTATACGATGGTGATGATCGTTATTCAAAAGCAGAATTTTCCGATTCCGAAGTTAATGAAAGAGAAGATGTTATAGCTGAAGAAAACGAGGGCATGGTTTATGAGGAAGATGAACATTTTAAAAGTTTTAATGCTACTAGTGTGGCACAGCCAACCTCATTTTGTCGTAAGTTGCCGGTGCCCAAGGAATTCGGTGGTTGGTTTGGTGTTACTTTGCTTATGTTAGTAATACCCGGCTTGGTGTTTTATTTGCAATGGTGCTGTTCTTCCCAGAAGTGTGAGTTTAAGCAGCCTCATTTCACAGGACTTGTGGATAAAAACTATTGGTTTGAGGATGTTTTTAATGGACAAACCGTGGGCACTTATTTAGCTTATCATTTTGGCATTTTTGTTTTATCGGCATTTCTTTTCGGTCGCGGTGTACGTTTGCCAGGTGCCGCCGAATACAAATTTAATGCCTTACCCATGACTATAGTTTTCCTATTGGCATTTGCTGTAGCAGAGTATTTAAAATATCCTGTGGCAGATTTTATTGTTAAAAACTATGTACGTTTTGGTATATATGGTTTATTGAATGCCTATGTGGTGGCCTTATGGGCCTATGTGCGCTCCGATATGTTGCGTCAAAAGGATGCGGCTCTTTTTAATGTTTATGCTAAGTCTGGTAATGTTTTGATAGACTATGCTTTGGGACGCCAGTTAAATCCCAAATGGTTGGGTTTAGTGGAATTCAAGCAGGTATTCTATAAAGCTTCTTTAATATCTACCTTTATGTATGCTGTCTGTTTGTTGTACAAAAATGTACAATTACCTTGGTTGCCCAAAGAAACTGAGGGAGTTGTAGAGAACGTTAGCTATTTTGTAAGTCATTTAAAATATGATGCCACCGCTTTATTGTGTGCCGTTATGCTTTTGCTATATGTTTTGGATTCTATTGTATTTGAGCATCATTTGGCTTCTTCATTTGAACTGCAGGGAGAGGGATTTGGTTGTTTATTGCTTTTGCGCTATGCCGCTACACCCTATTTACTGTCAGCTGTGGCCAAATACTTTTATGAGCATCGTACTCCTTTGAACTGTAAATTTGCAGCTTATATTCCCTTGCTGTTATTGACTTTGGGCCTGGGCTTGAAACGTTTGAGTAATGCCATCAAATACAAATATCGTGTACAACCCAATCATCCACATTTCGCTAACATTGAAACCATACACACTTTCCAAGGTAAACGTTTACTTTTGGGTCCGATATGGGGTCGTGTGCGTCAACCCAACTATTTGGGTGATATTATAGCCATTATTGCTTTAGGTTTACCCTTGGCCATGCGTTTTGCTTGGCCACCTTTGGTTTGCTTAGCTTTAATCGTTTTATTACTGGTTCATCGCTGCTTCCGTGTAAATGCCAGAAATACCTCACGTTATCACTCGTCGTGGGTGCGTTATCGTAGTATAGCACGTAATTATCTGGTGCCCAATATATTTTAAATTTTATACCCCAAAATGATTTAAATTTTAACTCAAAAACGAATTTTTAATTCTACTTTTAAATTTTAATTTCCCACCGTTTGTTTTAATTTTAAATTTTAGTTAATTTGGCTTTTGTTTGATAAATCGTTTTTTAAATTTTGTAAATAATATTTTTTATTTTCAAAATTAACTAAATCTCTCTGTAAGTGTATGTGTGTGTGTGTGTCCACTACTTTAACCACAACATCAACATATTTTATTTTCAAAATATGTTTTTTTTTATAATAATTCATATAATTTTACTAAAATTGACAATTTTTTTATAATTATATAAAAATGGCTTTTCAATTTGATCCCTTGAAATCATTTATACAATAAATAAAAAGTAATATAAAGAATTCAAACATTTATATTTAATAATTAGTTTATTTTATACTAGAAAAAACAACAACAAGAAAAATAAATTAACTACTCTAACGTGTAATGTATGAATAACATAAAAAGCGTTGCAATCATACTCATTTAACGTTTAAAAAAACATTTAATCCATTTAAAATTTAAGCTATTTTTTTAGACTATCTGTATATAATTTATTTCTTACTACTTACTATTACGTATTTTACTTATTTTTAGTTTAAAATGTATGACGTATTTTTTTAAAAACAATAAAATAAAAGTTTAGACTAAAAAAAAACCTTAAAGAAAACTTGTTCCATTTGGGTTTTGTACACCTCGAAGTATTTTCTCCGCTGAATCCGTTTCAAAATTTGTTCATCATTACAGGTCTTCGAGTTGTCTTAGTCTAGAGTTTGAAAAAGACACCATTTTACATAGCGTAGTCGACTTTATTTCGTCTTAAAGTCTCATCTTTTGCCTTCAAAATAACGTCCTAACCCTTGTTATAACTTGTTCGATCTTTGAGATATCTTAACCTAAAGATTTCTGATGTTATGGACAAATTCGGAGGTCATATTCGCCATTTTACAGAGCATTATCGCCATTTTTATTATAAAATATGTTTTGTCTAAAAATCCCATCCTTTTGGCTTCAAAATAGAAGATTTAATCCTTGTTGCAACTTGTTCGATCTTTGAGATATCTTAACTTAAAGATATCTCTATCTTATGGACCAATTCTGAGGTCTTTAGAAAACTATACTCCGATCTCTGGCTAAGTCTCATCCGCTGCTTTCAAAATAAGGCTTTAACCTTGGTTATAACCTGTTTGATATTTGAGATATCTTAACCTAAAGATTTCTGATGTTATGGACAAATTCGGAGGTCATATTCGCCATTTTACAGAGCATTATCGCCATTTTTATTATAACTTATGTTTTGTCTAAAAATCCCATCCTTTTGGCTTCAAAATAGAAGATTTAATCCTTGTTGCAACTTGTTCGATCTTTGAGATATCTTAACTTAAAGATATCTCTATCTTATGGACCAATTCTGAGGTCTTTAGAAAACTATACTCCGATCTCTGGCTAAGTCTCATCCGCTGCTTTCAAAATAAGGCTTTAACCTTGGTTATAACCTGTTTGATATTTGAGATATCGTAACCAAAATATTTCTGACGTTATGGACAAATTCCGAGGTCATATTCGCCATTTTACAGAGCATTATCGCCATTTTCGTTATAGAATTTGTTTTGCCGTCTAAAAATCCTAGGCTTTTGGCTTCAAAATAAAAGATTTAACACCCTTGTTGCAACTTGTTCGATCTTTGAGATATCTTAACCTAAAAATATCTCCATCTTATGGACCAATTCTGAGGTCTTTAGAAAACTATACTCGGATCTCTGGGTAAGTCTTATCTGTTGCTTTCAAAATAAAGCTTTAACCTTGGTTATAACCTGTTTGATATTTGAGATATCGTAACCTAAATATTTCTGATGTTATGGACAAATTCCGAGGTCATATTCGCCAATTTACAGAGCATTATCGCCATTTTCATTATAAAATCTGTTTTGCCGTCTAAAAATCCTATGCTTTTGCTTTCAAAATAAAGCTTTAACCTTGGTTATAACATGTTCGATCTTTGAAATATCTTAACCTAAAGATATTTCCATCTTATAGACAAATTCTGAGGTCTTAAGAAAACTATAATCTATGGGTAAGCTCCATATGTTGTCATCAAAACAAAGGTTTAACACTTGTTATGACTTGTTCGATCTTTGAGATATCTTAACCTGAAAATGTCTGATGTTATGGACAAATTCTGAGGCCATCTTCACCATTTTACAGAACGTTATAGATATTTTTATTATAAAAACTTAAAATCCCATATATTGACTTTAAAATAAAGGTTTAAGCCTTGTTATAACTTGTTCGATCTTTGAAATACATACATATCTTAACCTAAAAATCTTATGGACAAATTCAGAAGTCATACTCGGATTCCTTAAGAAGACTATATAGGTATAAAGTTCTGATCCTGAAATTCAAATTCGTCTTTTTACACAGCGTTGTCACATTTTTTTTATTATAAAATCTATAATATTGTCTCAAAGTCCCATTTATAGCCTTCAAAATAAAGTTTTAACTTTGGTTATATTCCGTTCACACTGTGGGATATCTTAACCTAAAGATTTCTGTTCTTATGGACAAATTCTGATGCCATATTTGCACGTCTTTATAAAACTATACTCTGGTCTCTAAGTTACAACTTATTGACCTGTTTTATTAAAAAATTAAAATCATACAACATGTACAACCCTATAATTTCTATCCACACTGTGTGTAACTAATGAATTTCTCCTCCAAATCATCTTAAAATTTTGTCATTGTTAATTTGGTTGATATGTATGTTTAGGCATACATACGTGTACCAATTATAAGAACTCAAGCGCTCATAAAGAAAATTGTCAACTACTTTGGCTGATGCAATTTTTGAACATTTTTGACAAACATTTTATAACAGCTATAGAACAAGTCTTGTCTTGCCCAACAAACATTTAAGTTTGAAAACAAATTAATGAAACCTAGTTCTCAGATTCTTTTAGAGATTTAGGGCCGAATTAATTCATACATACGTGATTGAGTAAAATTTAACTTCTTGAGATGCTTGACAGGTGGGCTCTATAAAGTCTACGTGTGGTATGAAATCGCCGGTAGATATTAGGCGGTAATAGACTATGAACTAGTCTATAGACTAGACTATGAACTAGTCTATAGTTTAGTCTATAATTTTGTTTGTAGTCTAGTCTGTAGACTAGTCCATAGTTTATAGTCCAGTAGACTAGACAGTAGACTAAATTATAGACTACACTATAGATTAGTCTATAGACTAGGCTATAGACTAGACTATATACTAGTCTATAGATTTATCTATAGAATAGTCTATAGACTTGTTTATAGTCTAGTATATAGACTAGTTCATATTCTCGTCTATAGACTAGTTCATAGTCTAGTCTATAGACTAGTTCATAGTCTAGTCTATAGACTAGTTCATAGTCTAGTCTATAGACTAGTTCATCGTCTAGTCTATAGACTAGTTCATCGTCTAGTCTATAGACTAGTTCATAGCCTAGTCTATAGACTAGTTCATAGCCTAGTCTATAGACTAGTTCATAGCCTAGTCTATAGACTAGTTCATAGTTTAGTCTATAGACTAGTTCATAGTCTAGTTTATAGACTAGTTCATAGTCTAGTCTATAGACTAGTTCATCGTCTGGTCTATAGACTAGTTCATCGTCTGGTCTATAGACTAGACGTTCATCTAGTTCATAGACTAGACGTTCATCTAGTTCATCGTCTAGTCTATAGACTAGTTCATCGTCTAGTCTATAGACTAGTTCATCGTCTAGTCTATAGACTAGTTCATCGTCTAGTCTATAGACTAGTTCATAGCCTAGTCTATAGACTAGTTCATAGCCTAGTCTATAGACTAGTTCATAGCCTAGTCTATAGACTAGTTCATAGTTTAGTCTATAGACTAGTTCATAGTCTAGTTTATAGACTAGTTCATAGTCTAGTCTATAGACTAGTTCATCGTCTGGTCTATAGACTAGTTCATCGTCTGGTCTATAGACTAGACGTTCATCTAGTTCATAGACTAGACGTTCATCTAGTTCATCGTCTAGTCTATAGACTAGTTCATCGTCTAGTCTATAGACTAGTTCATCGTCTAGTCTATAGACTAGTTCATAGTCTAATCTATAGACTAGTTCATAGTCTAGTCTATAGACTAGTTCATAGTCTAGTCTATAGACTAGTTCATAGTCTAGTCTATAGACTAGTTCATAGTGTAATCTATAGATCAGTCTAGCCTTTAGTCTAGTCAATAGTCAAATCTATAGTCCAGTCTATAGTCTAGACTATATATAGTCGTGACTAAAGTCTAATCAACAATCTAGCCTATAGCAACCTACTTTTGTGTCCTTTAGGATCCTTGTTATAAAAATGAAAAATCTTAAAAATTTACAAAAAACACAAAATTTATTTTTTTTCTTAATCATTTTCTTAATTCTGAACAAACACTTGAGCATAAACATAATTGTTAGTTTACTAACTTAAATTACAAAACCTAAAGATAAACCCTGATTACTGCAAAAATTTAAACAATTATTTTTATTCTCAATAATAATTTAAATTTAAGCAGTAAAAATGGTTATAACCTTAAGGGACTATATATTCCAATGCATTGGAAAATAAATTATAAATAGAAATTCAACTTACAATATTTACAGCACTAAAATTATAATTAAACTTATACAACTAAACTTAACAACTAACAGCCTTAAAAACTATTTATATCAAGATTTACACTAATTGTTTGTAACAATAAATTAAAGCGTCTTGGTTTTAAACTTACAACTCAAACTTAAAAAAAAAACTACGATGCTAAAACTAGAACCTAATAGAGAGAGCATTCTTTTGTCAAACAAAATTGAATATTTTCTATATTAAACTGGGAAATAGTTCATTAAAACCCGCTGGCCACGTACTAAAGTCATCATTACTGAGATCCTCACTTAAAGGCTCAAAATGATGGCTGGGTGGTGAGGGGGAACCAATTATAGATTCATAACCATGATCTGATGTGGCAGAGTGTAGCGAAGGTGCCGGAGATTTCGCTAGAGGTGAGACTAAAGGACGTTTAGGACATAAAAATTTCTCGATGGGATCGAGATTGAAATTAACATCATCATCCTCGTCCTCTTCGTCATCTGAGCAGGTGGTAACATTAAGATAAACCTGTGAGGGTGAAGCCATGCCTGAAGTGCAAACAACCTCATCGGTAGAGCTACTGGCGGCGGCTACACCATCACAGTAAATCTCTTCAACAGCTTCACTAACCGGAACTGCCACATCGTCCATGACTATGGTTATGGAGTTGGTTTTAGCATCGTATGTACCATAAACAGTATCTGGGGTAACTGTTGCGGTTGCTGAGTTGTCGGGTAAAACTGTTGTTATTAAGGCTGTAGTTGTGTTTATAGTTGCTGGTGTTTGCAGCGCTGTAGTTGTTTCTTTATCAAATTTATTTTCCAATGTTAGTTCAGGTGTTTGTAGGGAATTATGATGATTTGAAATTGTTTGATTTGTAGGTGTTGTTGTTTCTGTTGCAATGGCTTCTAGGCAGCTGCCATTGTAGCTGATTTTATGTTGGCCGGATTCCAAGCACTCTGCTGTGGACCCCACCATTGATCCAAACAATCGCTCTGTTCCGCTTGAAGTTTCGGCAGCAGGCGCATTGCACGCTCTATCGCTTGCCTCCAGGTCTGCGGTGATATCGGCAAGCAGGCTTTCGGCAAGTTCTTCCAACTTTCCGGCATCAAATTCTGCATCATCGAGCGCTCCTTCGTCGATTTCGATGTCGGGTAAGAGCATATCTTGTAGAGAAGGCAGAGAGCTATTACACGCCATAGGGACGATACTGTTGCACTCTTTTTCAGCTGTTGCTTCAACTTCAATACGCTGAGTGTCTCCGGTGATGACTGGGAGTCCTTGGGGTTTGAGCCCTGCGGCAGAGGGTCAGTATTATTGGATACTGCAGATCCGTTGAGTAAGGACTCACAGCCAGCACAGGTGACAGTCTTGTGTTGTTGTTGTTGCTGGAGCTGTTGTTGCTGATGCAGTTGTTGTTGTTTTTGTAATTCTTGCAATTGTTGTCTTAATATTTCAACTTCCATATCAAGTTTTTGATTTTTCTCCAATAGCGAATCGTTAATAACTTGCAGCGATTCGCATTTGTTTACTAAAATTTGTGTTTTTTCTGTTAAATCTTCAATTTCATGTTCCATTTCTTCCATGCGGGCCTTTTTGCGATCACGTGATGTTTGGGCCGCAACACGATTTTTAAGTTTTCTAAAAAAAGAGAGAGAGAAATAAATGTATGAATTAAGTTGTCAAAAATTCTTCAATAACTTTTAGACTAACCATATACCAGTGCATAGATTAGTCAATAAACAAGTTCATAAACAAATCAATAGACTTGCCTATATACCAGTCCACAGATAAGTCCATAGTCCAGTCCACAGGCTAATCAATAGGCATGTTCATAGGCTAGTTCTTAAACTAGTCAAGAGACTAGTTAAAAGACTATACCATAGACTAGTCAAAAGACTAGAACATAGATTATTCAAAAGACTTTAACTAGTCTTCTTCTAGTTGACTTCTCCCTTAAAAAACTTATCCATAGACAATATCATGGACTAGTCGAGAGACTAATCAATAGATTTTTCAATAAACCATTTAATAAAAAATTAAATTAATAGACTGACGAGTTAATAATCTATACATAGACAAGTTTTTGGCCTAAGTAACATTAGATTCTAGTAACTAGAACAAACATCTGACTATTAATTAAATATTTATTATTAACAATGAATCACCATTTCTTATCTACACTAAAACCACACTCTTTTATTTTAATATAATACTTACTTCCTCTGTACTTTCTCCTCCCATGTTAAATGATCCAAACGTCTCTTTTTTCCCTTGGGAGCTTGAGTCTCATTTGTAGTATCATTAGCTTGTTCTGTAACCGGAGTTTGAGTAGGGGGAGCTGGTCTAATTTTTGGCAGAGCTGTAGTAGCTGTGCTGCCTACGGTGGTAACAGCAGTTCCAGCTGCTTGCATAGGTGTAATGGCCACATATTTGGGCACTGTTATAAAAACTGTAGGTTGTGTAGACATTTTGTTTTATATATTTAATAACACTTGTTTTGTTTCAATATATTCCAATAAATTGTGTTAATAAGAATCTTCGAAAAATAAATTTCAAAAATTCATAGTAAATTTGTTGCTTAAACTTTTGTATTCAAAACACTTAATAGATCTTTGCTGTTGAGCGTCTTGTTATAATCTGACGTGTGTTTCCGTATTAATTTTATCTTCAAGGTAATAACAATGATAATGATAACGTTGAATTTGGATGACCATAGTTTACATCAGAGTCAACCCTATCCATGACATACACACACACTCCGTATACCTTTAACAACTAAAATTGCGTATTCTGCTTGCAGTTGTTGGTTTTTTTAATTTTCTTCATTGCTCACGAAAATTGTTTTTTCTGTTTTGGTTACTTTTTGCAGTTTTTTGCGGCGCTTTTCTTTTTCAATTACGTGTACTTCACTCGATAGATATTTGTTAAATGAAATGTCGTGTTCTTTTGTTAGTGGGCAAATTTTTTTGACTACAATTAATTTTTTCCACAATATTCCGAAGTGATTACAAACAAAATGTACGTATCGTTTTCTGATTGGTCGGTTAAGTTGAGATTACAGCGCCGTTCAGAAATAATAGCAACGGCGGCTTATTGTTAATAATTCGACGGCGTTTGAAAAATGTCATTGTTCCAGCAATGTTGTTAAGGCACTTAAAATTCAATCCCAGCTTTTTTAAAATATTTTTTGTCAAAAAGATAGTTTATTTCGCTTTAACCTAGTTTATCAAAGCTAAAGATTTACTTTATTATCATGACTTTGTTTATCTTCGATTATTGTAAATTGTTATCGATAACGAAGAGCAAATGTTTAAGCAGTGCTGCCAACATTGATAATTTGAAAGTAATGTCTATTGAAGTGTCTTTACTAAACAAAAGCTTTAAACTTTTATTGATATTATCGAATATTAAAACCTAAATAAAAAAACTTTTATTTTGCTTCTGTTTCATAAATTTTAAGTCAAAACTTAGAAAAATGTTACAAAGCCGGAAAAGTCGATATTAACAAAAGAAGATTTCATAAAATACAAAAGTCGAAAAATCGACTTTTCATACAACTCAAAGTCGAAAAGTTGACTTTTCAAAAATATGACTTTTCGACTGACTTTTTTCAACTATTTAACCCTATAATATGGACTACCACCGTAAAATTTTTTTGAAACAAAAATAATATATGTACTTCAAAAGCGGGAAAATGTACCAAAATGGGGAAAAGCGGGAAATATAGTTTTATTCAAATTCACTGATCTATTTTTTAACGAGTAAACATTTTAGCGTCCTTTACTCGTACTTATGTTTTAAAAATAACTTTCTGAAAATCCCACATATCAACAGGATCAGAACTGCTTATTTAACGCCAGCAGAATTGTTCCACATATATCAAAGTTACCATTAATATTTCTAAAAAAAACTTAATTGTTCCTATATTTTTGAACATATTTCAAAGTTCTACAAAATATAACGATTTCGTACACCTTTGACTTTATAAACTTGGTGTCTAAAGAAAGAACTATGTATTTAAGTTTTATTTAAAAATATTTACTGCTTTTTTGTATTAAATTGGATTAAGTCACGATCTTATATATTATAATTTTAAATAACCCGACTTTTTAAATATTTTCTTTCAAAATCCCACTTTTTAATCATATAGTTTCCCCATTTTTAATAACTCTAAAAAAATTACAAACACAACTGAAAACTTAGCCGGCTTAAAGCCGACTTTAAATCATCGACATAATATTTAGTGTCAGCCGCCAACGACGTTAATATTAGTCGGCGCAGGTTTCTAAACGCTAGTAGATTTTTCGTTAAACAAGTTTTGTTTTTATTTTAAACACAATTAAACCGCTTAAATTAATAATAAAAATACTTTAAATAGTTTAATAAATGAGTGCCTTATAACAGTGAAATGAAATTTAAAGAAATAAAAGCGTAAAAAAGCCAATAAATTGAAAATCTAAAGTGAATTTTTTCCCTAACATTGTTGGTAAAGTGAATGCAAACAAGTTAAACAAACATACATACCAACACACATACAATAATATGTAGAAAACAAAATGCAAACAGGTAGAAAGACATACGGAATGCAAAAAAAGGTGTAGAAAATAAACAACATAAAATGAAACGTGTTTGACAGAATAATAAGAATAAAAAACAAAAATATACACAACAAATAAAACATTGCATTTTCTTACTTTAACAATTAGAAAACAACGAACTAAGTTTAATTGTAAGTGTGTTTTTATTTTTGTAAATTAATTTACACAAATTTTTATAGGTATGTCAGTTTTTTTATTGTTTTTTTGTATTTTGTTTGTTGTATGACAATGAAATTCATCTACTATAGAATTATTTTAAGGAGTATGTACATTTTATTTAAGTTTGGTTTTGCGTGTTATTATGGTTCCTTGTTCTAATGTAGAGTGGACAGTGGGAAAAATTATGCTTTAATTTGTAAATCCGTTTTATTTTTGATTTTAAATCTAAAATTTGGCAAGTCATTAATAACAGTGCCACGAACAATTCTAGTAAATATCAAAATATAATTTTCTTTCGTCCATGGATTAACATAGTAGATGAAAATATTTCTAGTCTATATTCTAGTCTAGTTTGTAGTGTAGTCTAAAATGTAGTCTATAGTTTTGCCTATAGTCTAGTCTATAGTGCAGTCTATAGTCTGGTCTATAGTCTAGTCTAGCCTATACATAGTTTAGTCTATGGACTAGTCTATAGTCTAATCTATAGTCTGGTCTATAGTCTAGTATATAGTCTAGTCTATAGTCTAGTCTATAGTTTAGTCTATAGTCTAGTTTATAGTATAGTGTATATTCAGTAGTATAGTCTAGTCTACAGTCTAGTCTATAGTCTAGTCTATAGTCTAGTCTGTAGTCTAGTCTATAGTCTAGTCTATAGTCTAGTCTATAGTCTAGTCTATAGTCTAGTCTATAGTCTAGTCTATAGTCTAGTCTATAGTCTAGTCTATAGTCTAGTCTATAGTCTAGTCTATAGTCTAGTCTATAGTCTAGTCTATAGTCTAGTCTATAGTCTAGTCTATAGTCTAGTCTATAGTCTAGTCTATAGTCTAGTCTATAGTCTAGTCTATAGTCTAGTCTATAGTCTAGTCTATAGTCTAGTCTATAGTCTAGTCTATAGTCTAGTCTATAGTCTAGTCTATAGTCTAGTCTATAGTCTAGTCTATAGTCTAGTCTAGTCTATAGTCTAGTCTAGTCTATAGTCTAGTCTATAGTCTAGTCTATAGTCTAGTCTATAGTCTAGTCTATAGTCTAGTCTATAGTCTAGTCTATAGTCTAGTCTATAGTCTAGTCTATAGTCTAGTCTATAGTCTAGTCTATAGTCTAGTCTATAGTCTAGTCTAAAGTCTAGTCTATAGTCTAGTCTATAGTCTAGTCTATAGTCTAGTCTATAGTCTTGTCTATAGTCTAGTCTATAGTCTAGTCTATAGTCTAGTCTATAGTCTTGTCTATAGTCTAGTCTATAGTCTAGTCTATAGTCTAGTCTATAGTCTAGTCTATAGTCTAGTCTATAGTCTAGTCTATAGTCTAGTCTATAGTCTAGTCTATAGTCTAGTCTATAGTCTAGTCTATAGTCTAGTCTATAGTCTAGTCTATAGTCTAGTCTATAGTCTAGTCTATAGTCTAGTCTATAGTCTAGTCTAGTCTATAGTCTAGTCTATAGTCTAGTCTATAGTCTAGTCTATAGTCTAGTCTATAGTCTAGTCTATAGTCTAGTCTATAGTCTAGTCTATAGTCTAGTCTATAGTCTAGTCTATAGTCTAGTCTATAGTCTAGTCTATAGTCTAGTCTATAGTCTAGTCTATAGTCTAGTCTATAGTCTAGTCTAGTCGAGTCTATTCTATAGTCTAGTCTAGTCTATAGTCTAGTCTATAGTCTAGTCTATAGTCTTGTCTATAGTCTAGTCTATAGTCTAGTCTATAGTCTAGTCGATAGTCTAGTCTATAGTCTAGTCTATAGTCTAGCCTATAGTCTAGTCTATAGTCTAGTCTATAGTCTAGTCTATAGTCTAGTCTATAGTCTAGTCTATAGTCTAGTCTATAGTCTAGTCTATAAAATAGACTAGACTATAGTCTAGTCTATAGTCTAGTCAATAGTCTAGTCTATAGTCTAGTCTATAGTCTAGTCTAGTCTATAGTCTAGTCTATAGTCTAGTCTATAGTCTTGTCTAGTTTATAGTCTAGTCTACAGTCTAGTCTATAGTCTAGTCTATAGTCTAGTCTATAGTCTAGTCTATAGTCTAGCCTATAGTCTAGTCTATAGTCTAGTCTATAGTCTAGTCTATAGTCTAGTCTATAAAATAGACTAGACTATAGTCTAGTCTATAGTCTAGCCAATAGTCTAGTCTATAGTCTAGTCTATAGTCTAGTCTAGTCTATAGTCTAGTCTATTTTATATAATTATAATATAATAATTATATATTATAATTGCATCAAAGCTGGTCACTTTATTAAAAAACATGGTAGAACAGTTTAAGCAAGATAATACAGTACTTTTATGTTTTCATGTGTGAACAACATGTTTGAAAACAATATAAACCAACCAGCTGCAACAAACTAAAAACATTTGCAACCAATACATCAGTTGAGTGCGGACCTTTAAACACAGTGGACGATATTAAATACTGCTACGTAAATAGAGAAACAAATTATTAAAATATTAAAGCAAAAAAGTTCTTGAATTACAAAAAAAAAAATAGTAATTTAAACTTAAACATAATTTTAATAAAAAAAATAGTTAAATAAAATTTTAATCAAAAGAAAATTGTTAATAACTTAAAAATAATATTGAAAAAATACGTAAATAATTGAAATATTTGACTTTTTTGCGATCTTGTCTAACGTGTTTTCATTTCTTGTCTTGTGTGCTATTTCACCAAAAATGAAGTGAGTGAGTGTGCTGTTTTTTTTGGTTTTGTTGTTATTTGAGATACTCGTTTCTTTGAAACTGCGGTTTTTGGCCTTTATAAATATTTTTGCTTAACTTATATTAATAATAATACCTGCTGCCGTCTATTAGTCAGTCAGTCAGGGAGTCAGAGAAGCAAGTCAGCAACAAATATTTACTAACATCTATAGTTATATACACATTCGTCATAATAATCATTATTACAATCAAAACGCGGTAACAGCATCAGCACCAGCACCTCCACCTCCACCACCACCAACACCGTCACTATCAAACAACCAACCATCAACAACACCAAGTAAAACACCGAACCTAACCGACAACCACTTGATCTTATTGTGCCGTGCCGTATCGTTTTGGCAAGTGTCTGCTTAAATATTTTCTTTAACTTTTAACTTGTTTTTCCTATAGATAGGTAGGTACTAGGGATGCCAATCGGGACTGGTTTTTAGAAATCCCGGGATTCGGGATTTTTAAATAAATCCCGGAATCCCGATATCGGGATCCCGGGATTTTCGGGATTTCTAAATCCCGAAAAATATAAAAAAAAATTCAAAAAATCTTAATAATTTACCGACAAAAATAAAATGTTTTATTTCATATTGCAATATGAATACTCTTAGTAGGTGTTTACTTTCCAATAAGCATTTTGTGAAAAGAAAAACAAATTAATTCAAAGTACATACTTAGAATAAAAATCTTTCCATCCCAGGCACTGAATAGTAGAATAAAAACCTGAAATAATACCCATGATATCCAAATTTACATGGTTTCCAAATAATATTTAAATAGTATGTGTAATGGGGATCCATACGAGGCTACATAGAGCACCTGTACTGCACCTATATCTCCTCCACCTTATATCCCGTGTTCACTAACCAAGGGAATTATCTTCTCGCCATCTTATTGACAGGTTGACTTCCATTATAGACATCCGATAGTATCAATGCCTATTTATTGCCCTTTTTATACCCTTAGTAGGGATGGTATATTGGGTTTCTCCGGAGTAGTGCTTTTGTTTTATACTGTCCTAAAATACGCTGATGAAATTTGAAATGATCGGGCTTTTGATCCGAGCCCTCATACAAAACACAGCTATAAAAAATAATTAGTGTCCACAATTCGCTTAAAAAGAGAACTGTCGCAATGAAATTCAGCATAAAACATTTTATGTAACCGTAAATTCGTCCTCCAAATTTTATGAGGATCGACTCATATGATGGCGTCCTTCCCCCAAGCATATTTCAGAAAAATAGTTTTTTAACAATAAAGTGCTAGGATATATCGGAGGCGAGGTATACTTTTATTATGAAAACTAAATTACATTTTACTCTCATAACTGGTGTATGGGGTTATATGGTCGGCCTCGCCCGCCTATAATTTCGTACTTGTTATTTTTATATATCCGATAGTATCTATGCCTATTTAGTATAGCAATGAAATTTGATATTCGTAAATCCCTGACGAGCCAAAACCTCTCTACCAAATTTTATGTGGGTCGGTTCATAATTGACCCTACCCCCATATAAGGTCCCGTTAAAAAAATGACTTTAACGCTCATTACTGGCTTAAAAATACGAGTATAGCGATGAAATTCGATACACATATGTTTCATGCGAGTCAAAATCTCTCTACCAAGTTTTATGTGTTTCGGTCCATAATTGACCCTACCCCTACATAAGGTCCCATCCAGATAAATACTTTAACGCTCATTACTGGCTTACAAGTACGAGTGTAGAGATGAAATTTGAGATAAGTAAGTTTCTTACTCGCCAAAAGCTAAGAAACTTTTATAGGAACGTAAATCTTCCTACCGGAAAGTGTATGAACCAAAATTGGTCTAAAAAAATTATGAAAAATTTTATAAAAACGGTCAATGATTCACCCTACCTCTCATATAAGGTCCTATCAGTAAATTTGATGAGTAATATCACCCTGATGTTTATAGAAAAGCATATTCGGCATAGCCGAATATAGCACTCTTACTTTTTTTTTTTTGATATTTCAGCTTGTAAGTTAGTAGAGTCATCTTAAGTCCAAAAACTTTTTAAATTCTCTTATTTAGTACTTTATAATGTATAAAATAGCGGAAAAATACTTAAAAATTCGGGATTTTAAAATCCCGAAATTTCCCGGGATTACATTTTTTAAAATCCCGGTTTTCGGTACTTTCAAATCCCGAAAATCCCGGGATTTTCGGGAATCGGGAATTCCCGTTTGGCATCCCTAGTAGGTACACTATACATAGTAGTAAAGTAGACAAATATGTCGGTATGAATGTAATCGGGTA